CTATCCTCACAGGAAGGGGTGGGGGGAACTACCCCTGCTCACAGGAAGGGTGGAGAAGAAGGGTGCAGAAAGAGCCCTGCAGCTCAAGGTAGTTCCACTCCTTTCTACCCTCCTCCCTCCCTATAACACCCAGCCGGAGGAGCAGGGCGGGACGGGGAAGAAGCCCTGGAGTTGCTTAGAAGGAGGAGGCAGAGGGATAGCACTGCAGCCACCCTCCCCTTGGCCTGGAACGGGGGGTGGTGGTGGTGAAGAACCCAGTAGGAGCAGAAGTGAGGCTGGAAGCAGGATGGGCTGGGCCAGTGGTTCTCAAGCTGTGGCCCAATCAGCGCACAACTGTGGCCTATGTGACATCCTTAGGGCCGCACAGGTAGAGTGTGTGTGTGTATATATTGTGTGGATGGGACCTACAATGGTAAATAGGTTGAGAACCGCTGGGCGGATGGCAGAAGGCAACAGGGCAGAACTGATGGGAACTGGGCAGATGCACTTCTGTTTATTTTCCCTATGTTTACCATCATGTCATTTATTTAATTTAGAAATTTTTCATTTACATTTAAACAAGTGGAACTAGACTGTGTTGATACATTTCAACTTATGGTGATACGCTTTTAATCAGGCACTTAATCAAATGCTTATGCAACATAAAGTGATCAGTAATTGATGTACTTTCATAAGTTAAACTGACTGTGCAGTACTTTTTTGGGAAGGTGTGCAGGGGGAAGGAGGAAACACTGCTTGAAATGTTGACACTCTTGCAGTAAGAAAGGGAAATTAGATGTCCCTTAATTTCCTGTGAGGTTTAACTTCTAATTTTAATGTCATAGTTGTAATAGAATTAACATTTAATAGCACGATGTTTTAATAGCATTAGTGTATTTGTATAATAATTTGTTTGCAAGATTTTGTTGTACTACTGTCCACTGGCATGCTTAACCTTTTACTTTGAGATTAATAAATAATATCCGTCACACCACTCTTTAAAGGTGCAACCCCTGGCCAATGGCAGGTTTACTACAGAGCAAACACCAGAAGAGCCCTTTGACCTGGCAAGATTTAGACACTGCCTTATTCAGCCCACCAGAAAATGTAATTGAATACCACTGCTCTACAGTGTGGTAGACAAAGCACTAAATCAGGCAAGCAGGGACCGGGACCTGAACCTGAACCTGGGTCGTCCCACATCCCAGGTGAGTGCCCTACCCACTGGGCAACTGGCTACTCAAAGAGGGGTGCTTGCTCTTGCTCACACTCACTCACTTTTGAATGCTCAGGGTTTTTTCCAAATATTGAAACAAATTTTTTTTCATGAAATGGAATTCTTACTTTCTGGTCTGCCCTAAAGCACACGTGTTTGCAGGACCAAAGTTTTAGACATTCACAATTCTCGTCAGCCTGCTGAAAGTCAGATTAGCTTGCAAAGAATGGTCTGTTTGGGTCAATGGGGCTCCGTGTGGGTGGAGAAGGCACCCATGTGGGGACTGAGTCCAGGATCATGGCCTAATAAATAACTGATATGGTAGCAATGCTACACCTAGCAATAATTATTGGAGGATTCCATTTTTGTGACTTTTGAATTACAAGTATTTTTTAGAGTAGCAGCTTTATTAGTCTGTATCCACAAAAGAGAAGGAGGACTTGTGGCACCTTAGAGATTAACAAATTTATTTGAGCATGAGCTTTCGTGAGCTACAGCTCACTTCGTCGGAAAGCTTATGCTCAAATAAATTTGTTAGTCTCTAAGGTGCCACAAGTCCTCCTTCTCTTTTTAAGTATTTTTAAAAAATTAACGTGGATGAGTTTGCACTAGCAGGAAATTAAAAATCTAGTAAGGCCCTTAACTGGCCCAGAGCTTCATGGCGGTAGCCCCTGTGTGTACATAAAGTTCTACTGCAGTCAATGGGGAACTATGCAGGCCTTGGAGTGCTAGCAATGTCAATGGGGCACCAAGGAGGTGAAGTGTCTGACATGGTTTAACTCAGTGTATGGTCATTGCCTATATCTGTGTTTAGTCAAAATAATGACCACAGAAGCAGAGATTCAGAATCTTATATCATCAGTCAGTACTCCAGGATTACATTTGTCACGGTGAGGGGAAAAAGTCACAGATAGCATGATTTCGCCCTCAGCCTGCGACTTCCTTCCATATCCATGACTCACCCTGCAGTAGCAGCTCCTGTGGCTGAGCCTGGCTCCCTGCCCTGGGTATTGTGACCTGGCGCACTGGGACACAGCCCTATTCAGGTTTGACCACCCTGGTCATGATGGGGGAGTGAGGCACAAACTTCAGTGAGTGGCATTGTGATCTGGTGCACAGGGCTGCAGTGCTGCTCAGGTTTGGCCCACCTGAACAAAGGTGGGGGGGTGGAAAGAAGAATCCTGAACAGCTTTGCAACCGCACATGCCGGGTTTCAATGCCTGGAGCAGGATCATGGGCCCAGCCTGGCGTGACCAGGGGCCGCAACAGAGAGGTGAGCTTGCTCCCCAGCCTCCCCTCCACACTAGACTGGGATTAGGGTTGCGGTACTGGAAGCAGAGGGTGCTGCTGCAGAGTGAGGAGAGGGGCATTATTTTGTTAATCAAATTTAGGGAGCAGTCACAGTAAATTTAGTGATCTGTGATTTTTACTACATTTACCATGACTACGCTGACTTGATTTTTAAAAATGCCATGGTAAATCTGCATCTCTGTTCATGAATTATTACCCAATTGAGAGCAAAAGATTGCAACATGTTTAACCTTCCTTCTCTATAACTTTCTTAATGTTGGGAACTGCTTGTTACTTGTTGGGAAAACTGATGATTGCTAACATTATTAAAATCTAATCCTTCCAAGACTATTTATTTTGATACATTAATTCAGATGACCTTTCTGAACCATAAAGACTGAAAATCACCATAACTTGACTACATTTAAAGACACACAATTCTCCACCAGTGGTAGCAACATTGGCAGCTGCAGCATAGACATAGCTCAGGTATTTTTAACACGGTGCCATACAACCCATCAAACTGAGAGGGTTGGCTGATCATACAGTGCTCTTCATTGCCAGCTACTAAGTATGATTAAAATATAGCTTAAAAAATACATTTGATACTTTCCTAATTTTACAGAGAGGTGATGGGATAGGAAAGGGGAGTGGAAATGATCCACAAAACAGTCTCCCCATTAAAACATGGGGATTATGATGGCAGTTAAATACCCTCCCTCTGTGTACTGCAGTCTCCCCCCTTGCTACTTGTGCTGTAGCCACATCAGTGGTTCCTAGGTGCCATTTTCCCAAGAGTAAACAGCTGGGATAACTTATCTGTAACCTTGAGTTCAGCTTTGTTCTCCCCCCCCCGGGTTGGGTTATTTTCACATTCTTTAAACTAAAAATGGCTTTGAAATTGTGAGTACATGGAATCTGGACTTGGCTTTTTAAAAGAAACATCATAAATTGGTTGAATGGAAATAGTGCTTTGTGTTAACTCCATACCAGGACTTTTCTGGTAGTCTCCTGTTTCCTTAATATTTAAGATTTTATTTGAAAAAAGTGTTTTTTGGCTTTTTTAATTGTTGAGAAAACTTTCCCTGGGGGGCCATGCACAACAATGGGCCACATTCAGATCCAGATGTAAGTCAGTGCAGCAGGGCTGAATTTTGCCCTGTAGGTCGGAGATGGACAAACTGACCTTTTGTATCTTCGATACCTACAACTGTTAATCATTTAAGTGCTGGTCATTTTAGCAGAAGTTTCCAACTTCTTTGGTACCATGGGATGAGGAAAAGGGGCAGCATAACAAACGGTTTTTTTCTCCATTGAACAAGGATGTGCCACCATTCTAAGAAATGTCCCATCCCATTGTGGTCCACCGGTATGTGTCTGATCAGATAAAAGTTAGTTTTCAAGCACCAATCATGAGAACCATTACGGAGTGTGGGGGAAAACACATGACTGTGCTGTACCAAAAAAAAAAAAAAAGCGAGCGAGTGAGGCTGTTTCTAAAACGGACCCCCCCCGATAGCTGGGCTCATGCTCCATGTTACAGACGACTCGCAGCAGAATATTATGTAAAAGCTGCTGTATTTCCAGCAGGGCTCGCACCAGCGACTCCCCTCCCCCTCTCCCCACTGCCCTTTCTCCCGCTTCCCCCACTCTGGTCCAGCTGGGCACCCCCAGTCCCAGGTTCCCGAGCTCCCCTGAGCCCCCCATCCCCTGACCCCCAATTCCTCAGCACCCCTGAGCTTCCCCGTCACGGGTCCCCCCCCAATTCCCCGGCACCCCCAAGGTTCCCCACGCCGTGGTCACAGGTTCCCCCAATTCCCTCCGTCCCCCGCTTTGCCCCTTCTTCCTAGTTCCCCTCCCACAGACACCCCGGCCCCTGAGAACTTTCACCCCCCCCCCCGTTCCCTCCACTCTGCCTCCCCCTCCAGGCACCCCCGCCTCCTTCGCCTGGGCACCCCCACATCCTACTCCCCCCTCACCGCCGGGTCGCCCCGCGGGGCTCGGTGACACCCATGCCCGGGCCCCTGGGGGCAGGGTAATTCCCCCACCCGCCCAGCACGGACCACCCCCCCCGCACCTTCGCCACTTTGGGGATTCGCTGCTTCCCGGCCGCCGTAGACGCCATGTTGCCGCCGCTGTGAGCCCGAGCTCTGTCGACCCCGCCCTGCTCTTTCACCTCTCACCCCGCGCAGCGTCGCCCGGGGCGTTGCCACAGTAACGGCGGCCGCGCGTCTCTCGGCGGTTGCCGCGGAACCGCTGCGTCCTAGGTGAGTCGTCGCCGGTTCCTCTGAGCCCTGACCCGGTGGGGACCGCGGGACGCGCCGCGCCCGACGGAACAGCGGCGACGCTCTGGGAGTGCTGGGAGGAGGCGCTCCCGGGACTGCGACGCCCCAAACAGGTGTCCCATATCGCACAACTCCCCTCAGTTTGGGACTACACCGCCCAGCATGCAATGCGCGTCCCCCCCCCCACGAAGACTACAACTCCCAGCACGCAGCGCGTCCCATTCCCCTCCTTCTCTCCCCCAGGAACTCTTTCTGGCGCCTGCTCTGTGCTGCCCCCTAACCGCCCGCCCGAGAACTGCAGCTGCCCGAGCTCCCCCAGCGGGGTCACGGGCACCCAGGTATTGGGGATTGCGGCCATCCTGCTCTTCCCTATATTGCTGGGTGGGAAGGGTCGGGGAAAGGGGTTGCAATGGAGAAAACAGGCTGGGTAGCTGCCACCTGGCTTGTCCCTTGTCCTTGCAGCCCCATGTCCTCCTGCTGTTGGCACCTGCAGACCCACGTGCCAGTGGCAAGCTGGCCTGTCAAAGGACAGTTGTTCCCTGTAGTCAAAGGGTCAGATTCCCGCAGCAGTGTAGCATTTATAGTAAGTGCAACAGGGTTACCACCACAGAATTGTCTCCAGGCAGCAGATCTCTGCTAGCGAGCCAAAGGGAAGACTTCCTGTGAGCTAATGAATTTCCCACTTGCTCTAAAATGCAGCCCAGACTGACGGCAGAGGGCCAAAGCTAACCCCCGTCCAGTCCAAACCTCAGCCCACCCCCAGAGTCCTCTCTCCCTCAAACTCAATAGCCCACTGTCAGAATAGCCCAGCGGTTTTCAAACTTTTTGAGCTAGCTCCCCCTTGAGTTACAATTCTTGGTCGCACCTCCCCAGCTTAAACAAAAATAGACACAATAGCCCTCAGGTTTTCAGGATTGGCGAAGGCGTTTGCGACCAGAGCCAGTGCTGGGTGTGGAGGCTGCTGGGAGCAGAAATTGGTGCGGCCACAGTGGATGTTGACACTGACCCACAGGCTGGGTGGCCCACTATGGTGAGTTAGGGAGTTGAAGTGATACTCCCTCCCCGAGCCCTGCCTGGCGTGGCTGTTCATCCTCCCCCTGAACACTGCACTGTGCCCCCATAGGGGAGTGTTCCCCACAGTTTGAAAACCTCAGGGCTGGCCCTACTCTGAAGCTTGATGTGTCCAATTTTATTCCTTCCAGTCTTGATGGTGGTGGTGTGGGAGGAGCTGCCCACAGTCCTTGTCTCCAGGACAGTTAATTAACCCCTTCTTAACCTGATCCAGTGTCGAGTTTGTGCATCCCATCACTCTTCCACAGTCAGAAAGTTGGGGCTGTACTAACCCTTTCCTACATAGTCTTACCACAAGTACATATATGACATGTTTGATCTGACTTGGATGTAAGCATCAGCTCACTTAAAAAGAAAAAATGGTTAGGATGGGAAATTTCTGTTGTGTTTAAAAAGAGTGTTTTTTTAATGTTGATAAACCAGTGAGGCAATTACTGGAAGAATTGGAGCAGGCAGGGAGCAGAGTCCTCTATTTATCTCCAATGTTCTCCAGGTTCTCCGCTCCTAAACAGTGTTCCCTGTCTCAGCTCTTCTCCACTCCCCAACTTCCTTCTTTGCCCTTAATCTTCCCTGTGTTAGTTCTACTCTAATGTATGTGTAGCATGGAATGAGTATTGGTGGATGCGAAGTCTGTATCTGGAAAGTGAGGTCTCTGACTCATCAGGATGGTGGATGTGGAGGGTAAAGTGAGATTCCCAGTTCCTGTAGGGACAATGGATGGGGTCTTTTGCCCAATACTGGACTGGCAGATGGGAAGATGTTGATTCTGGAATGTATACAGGCAGTAAGGCTCAATTCTGCTCAGAGAACCACATCAATATAATCCCATTCAAACAAACTGGTCTCAGTGTGAGCACAGAGATCCGCAAATATAAACTTGCAGGACTGGAACCTATGATACTATACGGTGTGGTCTCTTGACCATAATGGGAAGTTGGGGTGGGCTCACATCTCTATTCTATAAAGGGAAGATATGAGATGTTGGTGTCTCTGGCACACACTACACAGGTGTGTTGGTAGATGTTCTGAGATGATGTGGGCCATACTTGGGATGGTGGTGGTTTGCAACCCTGGTGGTGGTTTGCCTGGGGTTGCAACTGATATTGGAAATATATATGATGTAGGGTGGATGAGTATAAAAGTTTTTCTAGTCCAGTGTTTTTCAAACTGTGAGTCATGACCCAGTACTGGGTCATGGAATGTAAGGCACTGCGTCGCAGCGGCTCTGGTGGGTCGCGGCGGCTCAGCACCACCAACCAGGCTTGTGTGCCTCTGCCTAGGAGCCGGACCTGCTGCTGGCTGCTTTCGGGGCACAGCGTGGTCCGCGGTGCCAGGACAGGCAGGAAGCCTGCCTTAGCACCCCCACTGCACTGCTGACTGGAAGCTGCCCGAGGTAACCCCGTGCCCTAACCCCGTGTCCCAATCCCCTGTGCCAGCCCTGATCCCCCCAAACCTGGTGCCCCTTCCTGCACCCAAATGCCTCATCCCTGGCCTCACCCCAGAGCCTGCACCCCCAGCCCAGAGCCCTGACCCCTTCCCGCACTCGAACCCCCTGCCCCAGCCCTGAGCCCACCCCAAACTCAGAGCCCCCTCCTGCACCCCAAATCCCTCATCCCCTGATCAACCCCAGAGCCTGCACTCCACTGTGCAACCCTCACCCCCGCACCCCAACCTTCTGCCCCACCCCTGAGCCCCTCCCAAACCCCTCATCTCCAGCTCCGTTGGGTCGCGGGCATCAACAGTTTTCTTCAACTGGGTCACTAGAAAAAAGTTTGAAAACCACTGTTCTAGTTTACAGCTAGAGTCTGGGTGGGGATTGGGAGCATAGTGAAGTTTTTTTTTTTTTTTTTTTGAATGGGCAGTGTTATATTTTACATATAATCTTGTATGTGAGTTATTGTATAAACTGTGATGGTATTTGAACTGTTCATTTTCATACTTTAATGCTTAGGCTTTTTATTTTAAATTGTGACATTATTTGGTATATATACATTTAAACTTTAATGTTAGGTGGCAACAGAATTGAAAGGTAACTAAGTTTTTGTTGGTTAATCACAGTTGGACTGAATTCATATCACATTATCTATTATGAAACTGTTAGGTATACAAAGGACAAAATGGGTTATGAGGACACTACAAACACACTGCACATGGCACTGCAAAATAGATTTTTATTTGCATCCAGGGTTAGGGCTATTCAGAAAAGCCTTCCACTCCTCCTGAAGTATAAATAATCTTATTGATTTAAAAACTTGGCTTTTGGACAAATAGTTTGAAACCATCAGATACTATGATGATGAGCATTATAGAAATGTCTACAACTAAATGTGAAACCATTTCATGCAGTTGTAGGCCATTAAAAATATTCCCTCACTGTTCAGTAATATTTTAGGTGGTAACCATTATACTACATCCAATTTGAGACTGTGGTTTTCAGAGGAGCCTGGGGGAGTTAGGCACTCAGATCCCATTGATTTTCATTAGGATTTAACTGCCTAACTCCCTTCCTTCCTTTGAAAATCTCATCTAGAATTACTAACTTCAAGGCTGAAATCACTGCAGAAGCCAATCTCATTAGATAACATTAGTGTTTTCTTTGTTTTTGCTACAGTGTATAAAATGACTGCAATAACTTCTGCAAGAGGACGTACAGAAGTGGTCAATGCCAGAAGAACGGAATCACATGATGTTTCTGGTATTATCAGTCTCATCAGATATTTTACTGAAAAAACTTTTGGAAGGATTAATGTCGTCTATCTTTTGTAAGTAGCAACATTTTAAGAACATACATGACGTTCTTCTCAAGGTACCCAGAATCATAAGCCACTGTGTTAACTCTCTGCCTCTGCAAGAGAGAGCTTTGCTGGAACTTAGATTGTGTATCCGCTCCCTGCCACACCTGTCTGTCCTTCTCATCAGCAAATGCCTTGCAACTCTGCCAGTCTTAACCTTGTCTTGCAGGTAACAATCAGTGAACCCCAGTTCTCAAGTTCCCCAAGGAGGTCTCTCTCAGTATCCGCAAAAAGAAAAGGAGTACTTGTGGCACCTTAGAGACTAACAAATTTATTTGAGCATAAGCTTTCATGAGCTATAGCTCACTTCGTCGGATGCATTTGCTCCTGAAAGCTTATGCTCAAATAAATTTGTTAGTCTCTAAGGTGCCACAAGTACTCCTTTTCTTTTTGCGAATACAGACTAACACAGCTGCTACTCTGAAACCTCTCAGTATCCTGTTATTCTCACTTTATTTCAGTATAACAGCACTGAGATAATTCATAGTAAAACTAAGAATATGTTTCTTAATAAAGAATATAGATTTAAGTGATACCAATGGTGGCAGAGCCTACCCAAAAGTTGGGGGGCCAGGGGCCAGGGCCCCCTACCTCTACTCTTCTGCCCAAGGCCCTGTCCCAAGTCGGAGCCGGCCGGGAGCCACAGATTCTTCAGTTGCCTGGGGTGGGGTCGGGGTCGAGAGCAGCCCCCGGCCTGTGTTCCTGCTCTGCTGGCCCCCGCCCAGGGCAGGTGGAGGGTCCACAGCGTGGATCCCCACAGCTGCACTCGCGGCTCTTACCATGGCTGGGCTGTGGCCCCCCAGCCGGAGCCAGGTCCTGGTAAGAGCCACATGGGGACAGCTGTGGGGAGCCACGGACCCTTCTGCCCTGGGTGCGGGGCCCATGAGGCAGGGACATGGGCTGGGGGCTGCTCTTGGGCCCCCCTAACCCGGGCAGGTAGAAGGTCCATGGCATGACTCGCCACAGCTGCCTAGGACCCGGCTTGGCTCCAGCTGCCGTGCCAGCCTGGTTGGGGGTACAGGGCCTCAGTGGGAAGAAGAGGAGTGGGGGTTGGGCCCCTGCCAAAAAGTGGGAGGGCCCTGGCCCTCCCCCCCCATTCCGGTGCCACTGTGTGATACTAAGCAAGAGTAAACGAGGTACAGTAGTTGTGGTTACAAACAAAACAAAATAAAACACACTTTCTAATGTCCAATTCTTAACTTTAAAAAGCTACAATCTTTGTCTAAACAGCTTTCTCACTTACATCAAGTTACCAGCACCTCCATCCTTACAGCAAGAGGATCCAAGGTTCACAGAATCAGAAGGTGCTGTCCCCTTTGTTCCCTGAGTGATGGGTAACATACTAGTTGTGTCATGTGTAGGCTAACAGAGTAGTCAGTAAATACCCAGTAATAAATCAGAGACAGCTTTATGGTCCATATTTTCAAAAGTGGCCACTGATTTTGGGTGACTCGGTTTCTGTGCCCAGCTTAAGATCTCTTGGGCTTGATTTTCAGAAGTGGCAAGTACCCACAGCTCCAGCTGAAGTCAGTGGGAGTTACAGTTGTACCTCTGGAAAACTGGGTCCAATATGTCTCAAATGTATGCTCTAGGTATACTTATCCTGCCTCAGCCTGGGCGGATGGACTACATGACCTCTTCAGGTCACTTCCAGCCTTACATTTCTGTGATGCTGTGAAGTTGGGCGTCTAAAATCAGAGGACCCCAGATCAGTGGCCAATTTTGAAAATGTGATTGTTAAACTCTGTTGGTCCCACAGAGAAGATGGATTTACTGGCAGGAAGTGTTTGTATAGTGCGTATCGGCAACCCTATCCTCTGGTTCCCTTATGATGCTGTTGAACAGTTGTTAACTTGAAGACTAAGAAATCTAAAATCACTTTCTGAATCTTCTTTTTGTCATTTCTTTAACCTTTGCAAATCAAAATTGTTTCCACAGAGAAAAAGCTAACCTTGCCGTGACACTCAGCAATAAGAAGAATGAGGTTATTGCCCATGCTGCATTTCTGGACTATCCAAATTGGAATATTGTTGATCAAGCTGATTGGGAATCATTCTTACATGAAAACTACAGTGACAAAAAGTGCACAGTAAGTAATTATTTTTTCAGATGTGTTTTCACTTGAGGGACATCAACTTGGTTTCATTTTGTTCCTTTTGAATACTGTATGTGTTCAATTTTTGGTATAATATGGGGGGAAAACAATTAAATTGCAACAGATGTTAAGAGATGCATTGCCCTTGTTACATGTATTGCTATTCCCTGGGATTTGGGAAGATCAGTGTAGAAAATGGTATTCCTTTTACTGGAGATTTTTGTTTTGTTTTCCATTCCAAGTGATTTCTTTGTTGTTTGACTAAGTTGGCTAATGGGTTTTTCTACACAAATGTTCTGACTCACTGAAGGCACATCACTTGGGGTCCTAAACATTCTCAACACTAGAAAATTATAACATATTAGATTTTATAACATTACATCTCATTCTAGAGCACTGTATGTTTTTACGGTATTGCCAGCTCTTTTCATAGGGAAAAATACTATGTTTTTTCAGTTTTTCTTTGTACACTTGACAGTATTTTGAATATAGTTGATCCCACTGTATTGTTGATGGTGCATGCTTTTCCCCAGGCTGTGCATGGGGTGCTTACCAATGTTATCATCAACAAAGCTGTAACTGAACCTGAAGAGACAGCTGGCAGAAGTGTGTCCAGAGAAAAGGTGGAAAAGAGAAAGCTTGAGCATGTGTGATGTTATTGCTCCCATGCCTCCCCTGAAGTCCTTTCTGAACATGGGCAAAAAACAGAAGAACCCGTATATTTTTAAAAAGAGGATTTTTTGAAATTGAGGATATGTCATTTAAAAAGTGCTTTATGGTCCTGATCCAGAAATAAGGATGAAAGGACAACACTCCTGAGCGAATTGTAGTTTTTCTCTCCACTTCAGGAGTACTCCTCTGGTTGACATTTGTGAGGTTAGCTCTGCAGAGCTCTATATGCCAAATATGAATCTTTAGGCTGACCCTACTTTAGATGGAGAGGTAAACATGCATCTAGATAATATATGTTGATATAGTGTAAAGGTTTGATTGGCATGAATTTGGGATGGCTGCATTATGTAGAGAATAGCCAAGCAACATGTGAATTATTCAGGCAATTCGTACATCTTCATATGGTAGCATTGTTTTTGGTACTCATTTTACAGAATAACTGTTTTAGAAATGTTTCAGAATAGCAGCCGTGTTAGTCTGTATTCGCAAAAAGAAAAGGAGTACTTGTGGCACCTTAGAAACTAACAAATTTATTTGAGCATAAGCTTTCATGAGCTACAGCTCACTTCATCGGATGCATTCAGTGGAAAATACAGTGAGGAGATTTATATACACACAGAACATGAAAAAATGGGTGTTTATCATGCACACTGTAAGGAGAGTGATCACTTAAGATGAGCTATTACTAGCAGGAGAGTGGGATGGGTGGGGGGGAGAAAACCCTTTGTAGTGATAATCAAGGTGGGCCATTTCCAGCAGTTAACAAGAACGTCTGAGGAACAGTGTTGGGGGGGGAGAGGGCGGGGAATAAACAAGGGGAAATAGTTTTACTTTGTGTAATGACTCAACCACTCCCAGTCTCTATTCAAGCCTAAGTTAATTGTATCCAATTTGCAAATTAATTCCAATTCAGCAGTTTCTCGTTGGAGTCTGTTTCTGAAGTCTTTTTGTTGAAGAATAGCCACTTTTAGGTGAGAAATCGAGTGACCAGAGAGATTCAAGTGTTCTCCGACTGGTTTATGAATGTTATAATTCTTGACATCTGATTTGTGTCCATTTATTCTTTTATGTAGAGACTGTCCAGTTTGATCAATGTACATGGCAGAGGGGCATTGCTGGCACATGATGGCATATATCACATTGGTAGATGTGCAGATGAATGAGCCTCTGATAGTGTGGCTGATGTGATTAGGCCATATGATGGTGTCCCCTGAATAAATATGTAGACACAGTTGGCAACGGGCTTTGTTGCAAGGATAGGTTCCTGGGTTAGTGGTTCTGTTGTGTGGTGTGTGGTTGCTGGTGAGTATTTGCTTCAGGCTGGGGGGCTGTCTGTAGGCAAGGACTGGCCTGTCTCCCAAGATTTGGGAGAGCGATGGGTCGTCCTTCAGGATAGGTTGTAGATCCTTGATGATGCGTTGGAGAGGTTTTAGTTGGGGGCTGAAGATGATGGCTAGTGGCGTTCTGTTATTTTCTTTGTTGGGCCTGTTCTGTAGTAGGTGACTTCGGGGTCCTCTTCTGGCTCTGTCAATTTGTTTCTTCACTTCAGCAGGTGGGTATTGTAGTTGTAAGAATGCTTGATAGAAATCTTGTAGGCATTTGTCTCTGTCTGAGGGGTAGGAGCAAATGCGGTTGTATCGTAGAGCTTGGCTGTAGACAATGGATCGTGTGATGTGGTCTGTGTGAAAGCTGGAGGCATGTAGGTAGGAATAGTGGTCAGTAGGTTTCCGGTATAGGGTGGTGTTTATGTGACCATCACTTATGAGCACCGTAGTGTCCAGGAAGTGGATCTCTTGTGTGGACTGGTCCAGGCTGAGGTTGATGGTGGGATGGAAATTGTTGAAATCATTGTGGAATTCCTCAAGGGCTTCTTTTCCATGGATCCAGATGATGAAGATGTCATCAATGTAGCGCAAGTAGAGTAGGGGCATTAGGGGACAAGAGCTGAGGAAGCGTTGTTCTAAGTCAGCCATAAAAATGTTGGCATACGGTGGGGCCATGCGGGTACCCGTAGCAGTGCCGCTGATTTGAAGGTATACATTGTCCTCAAATGTGAAATAGTTATGGGTAAGGACAAAGTCACAAAGTTCAGCTACCGAGGTTAGCCGTGACATTATCGGGGATAGTGTTCCTGACGGCTTGTAGTCCATCTTTGTGTGGAATGTTGGTGTAGAGGGCTTCTACATCCATAGTGGCCAGGATGATGTTATCAAGAAGATCACGGATGGATTGTAGTTTCCTCAGGAAGTCAGTGGTGTCTCGAAGATAGCTGGTAGTGCTGGTAGTGTAGGGCCTGAGGAGGGAGTCTACATAGCCAGACAATCCTGCTGTCAGGGTGCCAATGCCTGAGATGATGGGGCACCCAGGATTTCCAGGTTTATGGATCTTGGGTAGCAGATAGAATATCCCAGGTCGGGGTTCCAGGGGTGTGTCTGTGCGGATTTGTTCTTGTGCTTTTTCAGGGAGTTTCTTGAGCAAATGCTGTAGTTTCTTTTGGTAACCCTCAGTGGGATCAGAAGGTAATGGCTTGTAGAAAGTGGTGTTGGAGAGCTGCCGAGCAGCCTCTTGTTCATGTTCCGACCTATTCATGATGACAACAGCACCTCCTTTGTCAGCCTTTTTGATTATGATGTCAGAGTTGTTTCTGAGGCTGTGGATGGCATTTGCTCTTAGTATAAAGAAATTACAAACTTTTTTCAATCAAGTTTTGTTAAATTAAAAATGTAGCTCTGGTGCTTAAAATTTATAACTGTAATATTAAACTTGAGTGTAAGTCAAGTTTTCTCGTTTTTTTTTTTTGGTTAATTTACTGCATAGAGAGAGACACAAATCCAATCATTAAGACCCCGCTCCTGCAAACACTTATACACATGAGTAAATTTACCCATGCAGTTAGTCCCATTTAGTCAATGAAGCTACTTATGTGTGTCGAGTTACTCACATAAGTATGTACTGACAGGATCGGCAATTAAATTTGTAAATTAATATTTTAATTAATTAAAAAAACACTACATGCATTATCTTATTTTATTTAATTCATTCGTTTCTTTTTACTATAGCCTCTGAATACACTGTTTATGCATCTTTTTGTGGCAAATGATGAATATGCGGTTGGATGTGCCCAAGAAATCATTAGGTGAGTTGATGTGTAAATTGATGCATAGGGAAGCATGTACAGTTTCCTGCTAACTCTCATCTGTAGAGACTGTGGAATTAAAAGATGGTCATGTAACAAAAAAAGCTTAAAGGTAAATATTAAAAAAAATTAACTGAATTTCTTAATTTCAGTATGTGACACGACATGACACAACTGTGTGTAGCCTGATATACATTCTAGATTTCAAAGCTAGACTCTTACAGTTCTGAACATATTTTCCTAACAGTGTAATCTCTTGCTATATCTTTTGCTATTATTCTTGACATAAATATCATGCAGTGATTGGGACAAATTGATTTTTTTGAGTGGAGGGAGAAGGTTCATGGTGCACAGTTGTGCAGGAAGCCTAAAAGCTGTGGCTATTTCTGAAAAATCATTGTCTGCAGGTTATTCTTTGAAATGTTTGTTAGGTACAGACTATGCAGCACAAATAATACAATACAGTAGAGTGCTAGCTCAAATCACAAACAAGAAAGTGCTGCTTAAATTAATGTGGTTCAGCGCACAGCATCCCTACATAAACAGAGTAAATTGCATTTGGTGCTGTTGCTGTCAGTTTTACAGTTACAGAGTAACTGTAAAAGCCAGCTCATCCAGATGCCAGGTCAAATATCTGCCAGCAGAGATCTGCCATCTTTAATTTTTCACCACTGGGGAACTGATATAAAAAGAAAGCTATATGAAATCAAAGGATTAGGAGATTAAAGAGAGAAATGGGGTTGAAAAAACAGTGAAAAGGCCTTAATAATTTTCATATAATCTTTTTTGAGAAATCACATTTTAATTTTTTAGCCATGTGCATTTATGAGGGAAGATATAGGCACTGGAGAGCAAAGTTTCTTTCATTAAGAGATTTGCTGCTAAATTTGATGTGTAGTTACTGAGACTAAATAAAGTTATATTGTTTGTCCAGGACAGTTTTTAATGCAGTACCAGAAGTGCACTTTATCCTTCTTTTTGTACCAAGTCATGTGGATTTAGGTAAGAGTTTATTTAATATTATTTTAATCTTTAAACAACCACTGTAGTCTTAAGTATCATTATGATTAATACAATTGTGTGGTTTTCAGCATATTAACGGAAGTGATTGTCCTATAGACCTGTGGAAGAACCAATCCTAACATACCATTTTATACTTCAAATAGCATAATCTCAGCTATATTGCTTAACATTACATAAAAAGGCTAACAGTGTATGGTCCTGATTTGCCATAGCAGTAGATCATAGTGCAGTATCATGGCCTAAATTTGAAACCATATTTTGCTCCAACAGTTCTTCTAATGGGTTAAAAAATTTCTTGGTGAAATTCCTTGATAGTTTTTAACTTGTTTTTGTCATTCTTAGGCCCAGGCTTAGGAACTTTTTTTGAGCGGATGATGAGTGTTCCAGGTTCGATAGTTGATGTGGACTTTACTTTGTTTGTGTGCCACAGGCACCAACATTGTCCCCAGCTGTACATTCGCAAAGCAAGGTAATATGCCTTCATCTGCTTTGTCTGTATGAGTTTGTCTGGATCAATTGAAGGACTCCTATGACTACGAATCGAGAAAGTGTAGTTTTCATTAAATCACCTAAATGTCTCCTCCTCCCATTTTCCAATTTTCTTGATGACCCAATGTTGACTCATGACAGCTACTTTTATTAAAGAGACAAGATGGGTGAGGTAATACTTTTACTGCACCAGGATACTACCTCACCCCATCTTGTCTCTCTAATATCTTAGGACCGACACATATATGACAAAACTGCATAATTACTTTTATTCTAATTTGTCACAAGACTAGTTGTATTTTTTGTAGATAGATGGCCTTATTTCCATATGATTAAACTGAGTGTTTTATAGCAGTAATATAGTTTCCAGATTTTGATGTTTCTTCTATGCATTTGTTTATTTCCCCATGTCATGTTGCTACATATTTTACTGGGTACAGAACTTTTGTAACTTCCACATTGCCTCTTGGAGTATCTTGCTGTGTAGTTCCTGTTTTCTCTTATTAGGCCAAATTCTGACCAACTGGGCAAAGTCTGGCTAAGTAGATTTTGCTGTAAAGGAATTGCATTTGCATAATAAAACTGAGTAAGGAGGCCTTAGGCCAAACAATCCTTCAAACATGCTAATACCTGCCTTCCTAAACATTGTTTGGCACTTGTGAATTTACTCTGTGTACAAACCCACTGGGGAACCCCTTAGCAATATCTACTCACTGTCTGCCTGGGCAGGCCTCCTCCATGCTGCTGAGGGGGTGCAAGAAGAAAACAGGGATAATAATCCTACTTTTCTCCCACCCTTTGTCTGTCTTATTTATTTAGATTGTAATCAGTTTGGAGTAGGAACTGTATCTTACTATGTGTTTGTACAGTGCCTTCCACAGTGGAGCCCAGAACTTGGTTTGGGCTTTGAGGCACTAGTATAATAATAATAATTAATAACAACAAATAGTTAAATAATTAAATAGCCCAGAATCCAGCTGTGTGGCTGTCTGCTTCTCAGTCCTCCAGCTCATTAGAAGTGTAGAGTTTCTGTCACACTGAAGCCTTAGGTGGTCAAGGATATCCCTACAAAATTCATCCCTAGTTCTTTGCTCTCCGTTTTATTATTCTCTATAACATTTTCAGTACGGTTGTTCTGTAGTCTAGGTCCTTATAACCAAGAGGTGTTATTCACAAAATACCTGCACGTGTTTTCTCCTCTCAGAAAAGGTATTCCATTGCATTTCCTTTTTTAAAGAAAAAAATAAGTTTATTTTAACTAGCAAGTTGGAGGAATATGTTTCTTTAATCATTCTGTGTGTTTACGTACTGTGAATTGCTGCTCTAGGATGTTCTTTACAGGTCTGAAACCTACACTTTTCTCCAAAGAGCATCTACCACAGCGGAGCCCCAAATGCAAAACCATTTAACACATATTTCAACATGCCAGCATTGGTGTGCAGACTGTTTCGAGTTTCTCTGAGTCCACATTCTGTCTTTTTTTATATTTTGTACTCCACACACACTATTGATTAGTAGTGAAGGGATCTTAGTGTTGAAGTAATAGTGCAAGGTAAACTCACTCCTGGGCCTTGAAAGGTATCCATGCCCCTTGATTCTGTCCATTATGTTTGTCTTTTATTAATCTGAAGTACATTTTTACCTTTGGGGCTGTCAAACAATGCAGTTTGGGAAATAACATTTTTGACATGATTGAAAATGTTAAGAAAGCCATTCCAGTATTATACTGAGGGGATACCATCTTGCCTGAGTTTTTGTAATACATATAGGGTAATAATGGAATGGTTCACTTTAATGAAAAGCAGGGTAGAAAACTAACCAACAAACGGTTTACTCCTTTTAAATAATGTAACTACTTGTCCTGTAAAATTGATAGTTTAGTATAGTTTGTCGTGGATTCTTCAAGTAAGCTAAATTATGTTTACTACTGATGCTTTTCCTTCCCTTTTCCTCTGTATTTGCATTTATACATCACTAGCACCCGTAGTGACATTCAGTGGAAACTCTTTAGAGACTTATCCATGAAAGGGTTTTGACGCAGTCCCCAGCCACCTGCCTAGCAACACGTTCTGGGTCAATGATATGAGATTAGAGTAATCTCTGTTCCCTCTCCCCCTTACCCACAGGAAAAAATATGCTGTAAATTGATCCTTTGCTTAACCCCTGTATATTGAAGTTATTCTTTATCTGACCTTTAAAATGGGAAATAAAGCTGTAGCATCCTAGAACACAAACCAATGAGCTTTCATATTGAAGTCCCTTGCCTGTACTTTGCCATTTGATCTAATTATCATTGTTTGTACTTCTCTGTACTTTACAGCTGTGTACAATAGATCACAAATCTGCCTTTACAGTGGTGTTTTGTTTGTTTCAATCTGGGAAGACAGTAGAATAGTATCCATATGAGTGAAAAGCCATTGCCTCTTATAAAATAAAGAAGGAAGGGGGTGGTTTGTAGAGGTAAACATTGTGGTTCCCATTCTGCAACACGTAGCATGTGGGGAGGCTGTTGCACTCACGGGGAGCCCCACTGACTTCAGTGGAGATTTGCATGCATGCCAAAATGATCTCATCATGCTACAGGCTTGTGGGATCAGGGCCCAAATCCTGACATGTGATCTCAGGCAAACTCACGTTTTAAGAGGGAGAGTGTAATTTCAGTATTGCACTGCTTTAAAAGGGCCAGTGGCAGCAGTATAATGAAATGTCATAGTGGTAAATATATAGGTTTAACTCTTGAGTTTAACTGAAAAAAATTGTGGTTCTTATCACTTTCTACCTTTCACTGGTTGGCACAATAAAACAGCAAGTTTAAATTACAGTACAATCTGATTGAATTGAACAGAAAATCTAGTTTTGATTATTTGAAATTTCATAGTAAACACACTATATAAAATTCAGTTAAAGTAATGAAGACACAGTAATAGACCCCACTAGAGGATTCCAGCCATGAAATCTTCCCTGAGAAGAACGGAGAGACCACCATTTCTGAGTGTGAATTATGAAGTGTGTAGATTATTAGTTTTAGCCAGGGTCTGCTGTACTAATGGAGTCATTTTAGGTAGAGGTTTAATCAGGTGAATAACTAGAGTCACAATTTATAGTGTATTATGTTTACCCATAGTTCCTTCTTGCTTATATAAGCCCATTCAAATTAGGATTCCACCTATCCAAAAACTGCAGTAAGGGATGGAGGTGGAATGTTGGGTGGGAAATTTTTGTCACTGATGGCAGTTTGTGCTCCCAGTTTGGAGTGGGCAGCTGCAGAATCCACCTGTATAGGGTCCCCAAGATTGTCATCCAAACTTAAAAGTCATGTGAAAGAATCCAGTCACTACTAGCAGAAAAGGAACGAGATCTCTAAACCTATTATGCAGAATGAAACAATAGTCTGACTGCTTGGGTGTATTTGTCTTGACTCACTGATGGAGACAAGATGGCATGCAGGCACCCACCCTTCCTGCTACAAAAATGGATACGAATGAGTTACTAAGAGAGATCAAGGCAGGCATTGCTGATATTCACTCCAAACTACTAAATATTAACAAAACAACCCCGCCTCCCCCCAAAAAACCCCACTTGGCAGACCTGGATGAGAAGGTCAGCACTACTGAATCCAGTGTAGTAGAGACTGCAGAGGAGACACTGAATATGCCCACCAGAATCAAGCAAATAGAGAGAGAGGGACACGGTGGGATCTTTAAAACTAATGGTACAGAGAATTATAAAAGAAGGAACAATGTAAGAATAAAAGGAATCATTGATGATGGGGAGAAGGGTAGTCTTCTCTAAGGGTCAAATTCAGTCCTGTGCATGAGGTCAGCACATATCATCTATGCACCACTTAAGCCACACTTAAACCCTATGTTCAGTTATACCATTCTACCAATATTTACAAATTCAGACACAGTATTTGTCATAAAAATTAATAAACAGAACTTTTGAAACATTTACATCCACTTTAAGGCCTCTTTAAACTGCCAGAGTGGTCTAAGTGGGAATCAGGGCCTATATTTATTTGTTTTTTAATCACTGGCTGCAGTAAAACTTGGTACTAAGGGTTTCATTTTACATACTTGATCAATAGGAACATAAAGGATGTTATGTTGGTTTCCTGAAAAGTTGGAGAAAGGAGTTAACAGAAAAATAGCCATTGAAGAATGGTTATCAGTATGATCTTCAGAAAAAAGCTTATCAAGTATGTACTGTTCTAAAGGAAAATTATTTTTAGATATTGTTTCAATGGCACCTTATTCCAGAAAAGCTTAACAAAAATTATAAAGCAACTGGTAACTAATGGTGATGAGGTTGTGGAAATATTGGAAGCTTTACTCATATTTAGTGGGATTGCTCACAGGTAGAATATTATTGGGGTGAGATTACTAGTCAGATTGGGTCAACAACGGTATGTGGTCTGTTTTAAGGGACCAGTAATAATCCTTTTAGGTCTCACAATTAATATCATGACCTTCAGTGAGCATAATTCTTCCAGATTTTTTAGTAGCACTATGGCTCTTATTAGCCAGGGATTGGAAAAAGAATATTCTCGCTTTTGTTAATATTTTGATTCATTAGAGTTTTAGGACATAGTGGAAATGGAGAAATGGATGCGTTAAATTAAAACACAATAAAGGAGACAAAAAACTAACAAATACCTAGCTTCCCACCTTTCTTCTATTGGATTTTCATACCAGAAACAGCCACTCGCTGTAAAACTGACACAGTTAAACACTCTGCATTTTAAATGAGCGGTTGATTGTGAAAATCGCCAGTGTAGAGGGCTCTCAACAATTGCAAGAAATACACATGTGCAACTGCCCTTCCTGGGGAAAAGAAGAAAGAAAATAGACTTAAGACTGGTTTTATTATACAACACTTAGCAAATTAGGGCCCTGACCCAGCTGACTTCTGGGAGCTACCACAATATAAATGTTATGTAATAATTAATGGACTAAAAACAAAACAATACGTAATAAACAAGAAAGAAGTGTAAATTAACTAAGGCTTTTATAATGGAAAATATTGCATTGATTCATGTATTGATATTTTTATTTTTATTTTGTAAATCATTTTGAAAAAAAGAAGTTATTTTTTTAATTGCAGGATGGTGCCAATTTTGAGCACTGATCCTGTTTTGTGACCTCTGTTTATAAAAGAAACAAAAACTTGAGGAAAAGGGAAGCTACTATAGTATATCAGGCAATCCTTGTAATCTCTGACCTTTCAATTGCTAGAAGTACAGCATGTAATGATATTTTCTGGTGGTTTTCAAAGGCTGTTTAATAAAAGGATTGGCCTCAAGTTATGAAGGAAGTTGCTGAACTAACAACTAAGAGATTTAAGACCATTAATCTTCTGAGGGATTCGGAAGTTACATGGCCCTAGCCTTATAAAAAGTTTTCTGAGTAATTAATTTACTAAGTTACAGAACATTTTCAAATGTGTTGTAGCACTGTGTGAGTGCTTCGATGAATAATTTATAAGAAATGTGTTGATAGTTGTCCACTAGAGGTCACTAGAGACCTTGCAACGAAATAATCACTTACATTGCTTCCAGATGGCAATACATGTCCTAGTTTTGTTTTTATTATCTGAATTGAACCAACAGACAGGCCTAATTGTATCCACCCCAGCCCTTTATTACTTCATATCTGTATAATACTTGACAGGTTGACATGATGACAGTGTGATAAAGATTATGACTGCACCACCTGTGGGTGTAGTGTGACCACTCTTTGCCAAAAATGTTAACAGTCTTGGGGTACTTTTGGATCTCCAGCTCCTTTTAGATTTCAAGGTAGCAATAGTGGTTCATTCTACTTTTTAAAATCTGTGGTTAGCTAAGAGGTTGTTAGATATTGCTAGTCATCATGCTCTAGTTATCTGCCGTGCATTATACTTGCAAGGTACCTTTAAAGATGGCCTATAAGTTTTAACAAGTGAAGAATGTGCTGGCCCACTTGTTTTAGTGCAGGGGGTTGGTGGGAACATATCACCCACATGCTCAGTGAACTTCAATTGATGCCCATCTTCTCTCAGGGCAATTAATCATGTTGGCTCAAATGTCTAAAGCTTGCCTGAGTTTGCTTCTTGGCCCTTTAGGGACCGTCTCTCTCCCTGTGCATTCTGTGACAGCTGAGATTAGCAAATGCACATTTTATAGAAGTTCAGTCATGGAGATTTGGAGGTGTTTTCAATGGGGAGTCCCTAGCTGTAGAACTTATTCCTTCTTGTGGTCCATCACAGCCTGAGTTTCCTGACTCTTAGGGGATAGTGCAAGATGCATCATTTTAGTAAAGCATGTATTTGTTGGACCATTGATGAACTGAATGGTTTGGGTAGTACAGGATTGGGACAGTTTATCGTGTTTATTATGGATAGTTTAATGTTAGATATATTTATTTTGTGACAGGCCCATGGTGATAGGCACATTAAAAAACCAGCAAATAAAACAATCAATAGGTACTGCGTTCCCTGACTGTACTTTTTATCTACATTATTCAACATGCATTAAAATTCTCTTTTAGTCTTGTGCTTCTGATTAAGAACTAGGATTTCAAAAGCTTAATATTGGATTTTAAATGAGAAAACATTAAGTATCAGTAAGTGTGTTAATCTCTTCAGGTATTTCAATGAGAATCTATCTATACACTTTGAGTACTGTAAGACTTTTACTGCCAACAGTGTATGTCAGGCCAAGTGGAGACAGGTTGAGGTAGCTTTCACACTGACAGCAAGTTGAATGTAGAAGGACCAGTAGAAGTAGATAAGATCTGCATCCTGCAAACTGCAACATTATACCTGTGCTGGAGCCTCATTTTGACTTCAGTGGGAATCCATGTGGTCTCAGGGGTCTGTCTTTGCAGTAAGTTGCAGGATTGGAGCCTAAGTCTTTACTGGCCCTCTTTAGTTGTACGTGATTTATGTTGAAAAGTTGATTGGCAGGAGTCAGTTAGGCAGAGAAGGGAGAGGAGATTTTGACCACCTTTTCAGGCTATGCCTCCAGGCTCCCCAGCCTTCATGAAGAAGGCAGCAAGTGCCTCACACTGTGGTGCCATCTTCAGACATCTGCCACAGGAGCCATGGAAGACAGCACGGGCTCTCCACACAGAAGGAGCTCCTCCGAGGAGCTCCTTCCAGTTCTTTGCTGCAGGGCTGACGTGCTGAAACATCCAGCCATGAAGTGGTTCCCCTGCCCAGATGGCTGCCAGTGGGTGCAGATCTGAACAAAGTGACCTCATTTCAGAGCTCCCCTACCAGAGCACAGAGAAAAAGGAGGAAGGGAGTGTAGCATAGGCTAACGTTCAGAAGTAACTTACTGGGCGTTTTAGAGGCAATTTCTGGAATGGGAACAGTTTGATGCTAAATCTCCCTTTTGATTGGTCATTTGCTGACTGACACCAGAGGTGAGGAAATGCCCCCATTGCTCACGCTAGCTCACCAAGTCACAGAACACCAACTAGCGAGTAAGCACATTTAATTCTTTTGAGTGAAATTATATAATTTAATGGTCTCTTTCACACAAAAGCACACAGTTACGGCAGATTCTGCACAGGTGTGCTGGGGGGATAGTAAAGGCACAGGGAGCTCCTCCCTGCCCATGTTTGCACCATCTTTGGTATGGCTCCTTTAAGAGATTTCCACTGGCTGAGGATCTGGCCAATTGAATGTAGATTTTTGACAGCCCTGTGTTGTTGTTTTTTTGTACCTGGGGATTTTAGATGAACTGTTTGAGTGTGTAGGCTTGCTTTGTAAATTAGCAATCACTGCCAGCAATACAGCAGAATATTAAAATGACAAGTTTTTATTTCTTATCTTCAGGTAAGTAAGCATCCTCCTGCCTCAATCATTCTCCCATTTTTTGTTTATATTTTGTCATGGTAGTAGTTATGGACCACTGACAAGTACATGATGATGAACCTGACAAGGCTACTGGTTTGTGAACAGTATTTGTTTAATTCCTATGTTACTGTCATGGGTCAGTATACTCCCCTCTGTTGCATAGCAAAATCACAGAGAGTTTGTGGTAAATGCCATTGGATGCACTGCAGCGAAGAGGGTTATTCAATATGTTCATTCCCCATCTCAGAGTGAATGGCAGCCCCTTTTTAACAGCGGTGTGGAATTTGTGTAGTATACATTATTTTTGGCCTGCAGTAACTTATCCTGTTATCAGAGGCGCCATTTGCATCTGCCAATGGAAATATCACAGCAAAGAGTCCGCTATATTGCCAATACTGGAATAGTGGGTCTGGGAAGTTCACAGAGGTGTATAACTAGGCCTGGCTGTTTGAAGATGCCTGGGGTTAGGTTTCCTTATGGATCCTTGGTTTCTGCTTCAGCAGGGGCCACACCTCCAGTAAGGAAAGAGGTAGTCGATGTTTACAGTCACAGCTTCAGCTACATTCATAAGATCTCTTGTTTAAAGTGTTGTAAAGAGTGTCTGTGCTGTAAGAAATAACAGCTATCCAAATTTCCCTTTTCAGTTACCTCTGGTATGCCCAGGAAGACATCTGTTCTTTCATTCTCTGTAGTGCATCAGAGTAAATTAATAAAGAGTTTTAAAAAATATTTAACAATATACACTGAAACGATCAGTCATGTTTGTTTTACAACATTCTAAAAATGACAGTGTAATTGAAATCAAATAAATAGTTGACTTTGTATAGAAGTTATCATTTGTCTACACTCTGAAAAACAAATTAGGGAGTGAAGGATCAGTATTCTAATATTAGAAAGTTTTAAGACATCATTGATTCTGTTTTACAGGGTGGAAGACCATGATGATCTCATGCCTATCTTCATGCATCAGAATGAAATTCTGAGAGAAACCTATGGAGAATACTTCCTTGCAGAGCTGATAGAAGCTCAGGATGAAAAAAACCATGCTGTTGTTTGTGAGGTAGATCCTTGACATGCAGTAGGCTTGGGTATCCTTAACATTCATTATGCTGTATTTGGTAACAGCTGGTGCACTGGCTTCTTGAATAAAAATGAATTAAGTAGGACTAACTATGCCTTAGAAAGCAAAAATCATAATTTTGATGGCCATTTGACACTTGAGAAATTCAGCCCTTTTCTTAGTAAGCTTTCAGTTCTTTCAGGAAAATGATTGCCCCTTTGCAGTGGGCATCTCCTTTAAGGATGGAACATGACAAGTGAATCAATAATAAATAGTAACAATACTTGGCATTTCTAAAATGCCTTTCCATCAGAAGATCCCCAGTTACTTTACAAATCTCATTTGTACCTCACAATATTCTTAAAAGGATGACAGGGTCACCCATTCTACAGATGAGGAAACTGAGAATAAGCAAATTAAGGGCCCATTTCTGTGGGATTCTGATTGTCTGTGAGGATTCATATGACTTTAACTCATGGTGACCTCATTACGCTTTGAGGCTGCTCACAGCAAGTGCTCACCCCTTTGCAGACTTGGGCCTTAAGTGACAACAAAATCATAATTGTATGTCACCTGAGAACTTTTTTCAGAAAAGAATGGAAATGTATTAATTTACTCTTGACTGAGAGCTCGACCTTGGGCAGCTCTTCTGTGGGAGGCAGTCAGGAGCATCCCTGTCCCTGCCCTTGTGTAGCTAGTAAAAGAGCTAACCAGAATAGCAGCCCCTCTGGTCAAGGAAGCGTAGCGATTACTGCTGCGATGTTTCCACCAGGAACAACTCATTGAAAAGGGACAGGGAGTCATGGTTCTGCCCCTCCTATGCAGAGGCCAGCAGAGTTGGCTGGACATACCGTGATCGGTGATGCATACAGTGATGCATCCAATGAAGTGGGTTTTAGCCCAGGAAAGCTTATGGTCAAATAAATTTGTTAGTCTCTAAGGTGCCACAAGTACTCCTCGTTCTTTTTGCTGATACAGACTAACACGGTTACCACTCTGAAACGTGAGCAATATGTTACACCCTTTAAAGGGCTGTAGCAGTTTGTATTCACCCTAGCACAACTGGAATGCGCAGGCAGGCACTGCCTTTCGATGCTCCCCCTGGGGCAGCCTGTACACTTCTGAAGCTATGCCTCCAATGGAGGACTGTGGCTAAATGCCACCGTCTAACCCAGTGTGATTCGTTTGTATATTTTGTTTCTTATCGTGATATAAATGAAGCTACAATTTGTTAGATTTTTCTGAGATAATTGAAAGAGATGATCTTAAATCAGTTATTGTTATTTTAGACACTTTGCATTATAAATAACCAAATTACATCCACTAGCAACATTAATACTGCATGTGATGACTGGTAACCAAGGATACATAGTCAAAAATATCTCCAAAAGGTAGAATTAGAGATGCTAGAGATGGACAAGATGAGTGAATATTGTAGTTTGTTTCCATCTCCTGATCAATGCAGAAAAATGTATGCTATCTCCAAAAATCAGGAATTAGTTTCTTAATTAAAAGAGAAATGAGAGTGGCCAGCATGAAAGAGATTTTAAAAACCTTGGTATTTTACATTGTCTCAGAGGCATGCATTTCTAAAAGAACATTCTATTTTACAATATGTAATTGCCATACTTTGTAATTCTATGAAGTATTGTAGGCAGATAGGAGCTATAACCTACTTTAACTCCAGAAATCTGCTTCCTTGAGCAAAACAGTTAAAAAAAAAATCCTTAAAATGTAATCACTGCAGTTTGAAACCAAGCGGTAAACAATAAGCCATTAGTGTAATAACACATTACAAACAGTTATTTTATAATCTTATAAATAATATATTTCTATCATACATTTATGGCTCAATATGAAACCTGCAAAACGTGCTTCAGGTCTTCATAGTATAGACTCACCAATGCTGCTGCAGATTGGAAAGATACCTCCATATGAACCAAGATAGATGCCAATTTTCCCTGCAGAGAATGAAGCTGGCAACCTCTTTTTGCACATATGGTAGATGGATTGGTTAATCAGCCTCTGCTGAGCCTTGGGCCTAAAATTACACAGCAGCCAGACAACTGCAGAGACCCATCTTTTGTTCAGTTACGCAAACAAGACAAGCAAACAATCACTTGTTGTTTGGGGAAAAAAATAAACTTTTTTTTTTATTTTTATTGAAATGTTGATGGCTTGATAAGACAGCTGGACAAATTCAGCCTTTTATCACAAGATTTTATTAAGTATAGGAGGAAAAAATACATATAGTGGTTATATGTTTTATCAGTAGGTTGCATATAATACTAAAAATTAAGTTATCTTCTACCTGCCTTATTTTAGTGAAAAATCAGTGATGATTCTTATTGTCAGTGTCTGTTTCTTGTTTACTATTGTAACTTCCAGGAAAGCTCCAATTCCGTGCATTAAACCAATGTCACATGCTATTTCATCAATGCAAGGTCCTTATCGCTGTCATATCTGCCTGTGCAGTTATTAAGGCATTTGTTGCTTGATATGTCTTGAACTTGAAATTATCTAGTGCTTATAATTACTGTGCTTTCTGTCCCTGAATTAAACCATGTCACAGGGAAATAAAGTATTTTCTTCCATTTAAGAGCACAAAGAAATTTTTACACTAGTGTTTAGTAATTAGGCAACCATTGTGTTTAGCTAGATCCAGATTTTACTTAACAGTTTTAGATTAAGCAAGAATCTGTTCTGAAATAGCTAAAGATGGCGCTTTGTAATTATATATGTTTTGTGTTCATTTATAAATAATCGTTGAGATACAAAACACCTTACAATATTTTTTTATTCTTCCCCTGTGCATATTTAAATCGAGATTATTACATTTTCTTTTACCCTCCTCTGAAGTATCTGGTATTAGCCACTGTTAGAGACTGGATACTGAGCTAGCTGGACCTTCAAGCTGATCCAGTCTGGCTATTCCTATTTAAATCTTTCAAACCCTGGAACAAAGTAGCTTTGTTAGGTGGGATTTAAGATAAAAAGTATGAAGTATATTGGATTGTGTGGCCTTTTCTTGTGCCCCAAATTCATGTCTTTATATAGACTTGCAGCTTTTAAGAGTGTGGTAATGTTATTTTGATATTTCAGGATGATGGCACTGCAGTAGGTTTCATGAGTGTGTGCTCGGAAGTGAATATACAACTGCTTCATGACTGTTTTGACCTGGGGCCTTTCCATGGTCTCTGCAAACCACATCCTGATGATATTCTCAAACTACCTCAGGAGCCAAGTATTGAAACAGGTAAAAACAGAGTAAAATATATAGATTCAAAATCAGCTAGGCTACATTTATTTTTAACTTCCAAATATATAATTATTTCATGGGGTTGGAAGGGAACCTTTTGGAATGGTCTAGCTCAACACTAGGCAGGGAGGTCTGAGAAGGTTTGACAGCTGTTGTCTCTGGTTATTAAATGCTTGTCACTGTTGAGGAGATTGGAAGATCTTTCAGGATCAGTAGCATTATATAAACAAAGTTCAAATCTTGGAAAGTTAAAGCATTAGACATGTCCCCCAGATGTCATCTGCAACTGGTCTGTTAAGTTAAGGTCTCATTTTGAAGCTGATTCTAATGTCTGAGAATAGTTAGGCAGCTGACCAGTATCATCTCATTGTTTCCTTGTGCTCTGTCTGTTCTGCTTATAGTCTTGTACCTAGTCTCTGACTTGAAGAGTTTATAATAAATCTCTTTGTTATGTGTTTGTACAGTGTCTAGCGCAATGGGGCCCTGCCCTTTAAGGGCTACCATAATACAAATAAATGATAATGATAATAATAAAGTTGGTATATGAATTGCTTGAAGAGTAGAAAAGTTCTCTAAATGATGCACTGTCATTCTCTGGCCTCTCTTTCTTAAGAAGCACTGAAGAGTTTTTTTGCTAGTGTTTGTTTTTTTGCATAGACAACTACATTTTGCTATTTGTTAATAATCAATAATAGAATAAGAATGAGCACTAATAAGTTACCACAATTATCTGTTTCATTGAATGCTTCTAATGCCTTGTCTCAGACCAAAAAGAGGGCCACTGAGCAGCCTAAAACCAGTCACCCAGAGATATCCTAGAACTGTCAGCCTCAGGGAAGAAGATGGAGGAAAGAACACACTCCTAGCTATCCTATCAACTTTCCTTTCCCTCCCCTGCAAAGAACCACCATGTTAATAAAGGAACTCCACCATTTTATTCTATCTCACCTCCTTGCCCCTGGAGCTGCTGGAGTGTTACTGCAGACCTAGGTGAAGGACAGTGTTGGGAATACAAATAGGGCTGTGGGAGGAGGAAAAATCATTAGTACAAGTCCACTGTTTGTTGGGAAGCTCCAACCTCTTGACTGTAGTGTGTATGTGGGTCCTCTCTTTCCTAACCTTGCATGCTGGGTCAGCCTTCTTCAGGATCAGTTGGCCAGGTACACAGTCAGCTGAATGGATCTTATAAAGCCATGTAAATTAGGGTCAGGATTGGGTCTTTAAAAGGCCAAATGAATATTTACCAAAAGACACTAAATAACTTAATCTTCATAACTTTAAGAAACACCTTTAAAACAATAAGCTGCACCAGTAAATTCTTAGTAGGTATTGCATGTACGCTTTAAAGAGTTAGTCTATTGTATCTGGCCAAAACGGGCAAGAGGAAAATGGTTCTTGTTGTTTTTAAAATCAAAGTAAAAAAATTAAGCTAGCTTACATTTATTAATACAGTATAACATCTATTACCAAATTAGTTGATATACTAGCTGCTTGGAGGTTACAAAAATTTGTATGCCCTTTATTTGTTGTCATTTTGCATGGTTTCTTTATTGAAAATTTGCTCTTTATTTGGTAAATTTTCCAAAATCTGCACCTCGGTTGATTATCTTAATAAGAGCATTTCTTCCTATTGTTTGTTAGGTATTAGAGTTTAATGTCTGTTAACAGAAAGCTGGTGTTTTAAACAGTCTGTATAAAACCCACTTCTGCTCTCAGTTAATCAAGTTTCACTTATGTGGCATATGTGATGTTATAAATCTTGTCGATCTCCACTCATTCATAAAGAATGTCAGGAAAAACAGCGGTGATGCAAAAATTTTAATGTAAAAAACAGCATATTTAAAACCAACCAACCAACCAAACAAAAACTTTCAAGCTTTTTTTTTTTTAATGAAGTATTCAGGAAAAAAAGGCATAAATCTAATTCCCCCCCTCCTTTCTGTCATCTTTAAAAGTATATTTTTTAAAAAGTAATGTTATATGTTATAGCTTGATTATGGTAGAAATAGAGTCCATTTATAGCAATTGCATCTTGCTATTCCATGGATGAGTCTTTGCAGAATCAGGGTTTACGTACATGCTTGAAATCAACAGAATTATTCATGTGGCTAAAGTTAAGTGCATAGATATATCTTGCAGGATCAGTATCTTTTTTTTGTGTGTGTATGGGTACACCATTTGTGCACTGCTTTGAAAATATGGAACCAAATTGTCTGCTGGTGTAAAGAGAATGAAGCTGTGTTAATTTACACTACCAGAAAATATGGGCCATTATATCTTTAATGAATTCAAAGTCTGAATATTTAAAATGTGAGCTGTACAAGAAAAGCTTTGTTCAGATATAAATAGCTGTAATAAAGAATTTCCAAGCTGTTTAACTTGCTTTGGCCCTTGTACATGGAGACTGCAGGTGGTTGTTGTTTTTCCTTTCAAAATCTAATACTGGGCAATAAAAATGAAAGAGTATACAACATCTATGTTTAACGTAATGTTGATATGCCACTTGCATTTCATTATAATTATAGTAATTTGGCTGTTACTCTATATGGAGTCAGGAATTGGTAGCTAGAACACACTATGATACTGTGGGAATGATTCAAGAGGTTTTCATCAGGCTTCTTATTGAACTGGCTTTTTGATCCTGCTGACTTTTACATCTACCATCAACCCAGCAAACAGAATCTTTTAATTTTCTTGTGGTTGAAGTCTTTCTTACTTCAGTTACAGTAGATAATGTTCTTCCAGATCACACGTTTATGGTACATATACAAATAACAGTGATGCAACTATATTTGACTGTGTTGGATAGAAGAGCCATTAAGGGTTTCATTTTAGTATAAAATCAGTATAAATATTGATATGTAAAGTAGAGGCATGTATTAGTTAACTTCTGACACCTGCAAGCCTGTTTATAATGAGAAATACTGTTGGATTAATCAGGATGACATTTGATCATTTCTATAAAGGTGCCCATCGGTGATACCCCTAGAGAAACCACATATTATATATAGTATATGCACTTGTGTTTGCCTGCACATTGCATCAACGTTTATTTCTTCTGACAGTGATTATAGCTTTTTAAAAAAATATCATGCTGAATTATTTTAGGCCTTTAAACTCATTATTTAAAAAATTAAATTGCCTGAGATTGTCCCAAAAACTACTTACCTAAGGGAATTGAACTGTAAGTTAGTTAGGTTTCTCAACACAAAGCATGCATAGAGTTTTTTGAAGCCCCCTCCCAGGGCTCAGAAGTCTTCAGATTCATAGGTTACTGTTTTGGCATACTTTATCTTAAAATCTCAAAGAGCTTTTGTTAATTAAAGCTTTTCTTCAGAGACTTCATTTTAAGTATATGAAAAAATGAACTAGGAATATGTCTTTAGGATTTGGAAAGTGACTTTTAAGGAATTTTGATAGCTAATTAACATATATGAAATGGCTTACATATAGGGATCCCAGATTTTATTGTTGTGGGGTTTTCGTGGTTATTTGCTTTAATTTATTGACTCCATCAGTGTTTTTAACTGTTTCTCACTTTAATGAACTATAATCAGTTAATATTTGGTTCCACATATTGAATATAAATTTGGCAATTGCAGCAGGATTTCAAATTATTTAAAGTAACTCACCTTGATATTCTACTGTAAACTAAGGGACCGTTCCTGCAAGATGTTGAGTAATCTCACCTCTCATTGACTTCAAAGGGAATATAGTGTTCATTACCTGGCAGAGCTGGGTTAGAGACTGTTTTTTCCCAAAATTGTGTAATTGCTGTCAAGCAGCTACCCAAAGGCTGCCAGGCACATGGATGGAATGAAAGTAACACAGCAGTCAACTTCTGCTGCATTGATGTCAGATTTCAGTCATGTCCTATTGCACAAATTGTACATGAGTGTAAAATAGGTAAGTCATATGTACATAGTAGTTAAGCCATTACAAATCAAATGCAATAATGCATCATAAACATTCTGAAATTGATTTTGGACATTTTTCTCTGGATTTTCCTGCCATTTAGCATTTTAAATGTCAGGAAACAACCATGGGCCAGATCATCATCTGATGTAAATTGGCGTAGCATTGATTTCAGTGAAGCTATGCCAGTTTACACCAGCTGTGGATTTGGTCCATGTGAATAAAATGTTGGACATGGTGAAAATTGTGAAATCTGGTGTTTATCAGTATTAACAAAATTAACTCTATTGTTCAAATGTATGCTTTAATTGGATTTTACTCGTTTAAACTGTAATCCAGAAACTCTATTTACACAATATTCTCTCTCTCTCTGTATAAATAATACAAATATCATGTCTTTCAATGGCTAAGTATAAGTGGATAGGCAAGTGACTAAAATTAATTGAATCCTATTGCTTTAGTCATCACTTTTGACACCAAAAATACTATTAACCTGTTAGCAATTGACTAAAACAGAATCCCATCATCATTGCTTTCATTACTAGGAATTGAGCTCAGTCAGTGTGCTCAGTGCTGTGTAGACTTTAAAATCTGGTCTCAATAAATTTAAATGTGTGTTGTCCTTTCCTTTCTTGTTTATAGAGCCCTTTCATCCCTTCTTCACTTACCATAGTTTAAAAACTGGTTTCTTTGTATTTATCTGCCGCCTCTGCTAAAATGGGTGTTCATTAAGGAGATTAGCCAGTGTCTGCCTTTTGGGACTGAAAAATACAACAAAGATCCTTTCTAACTAGTTGTCACAGTGCTTTAAAGTAGTTACTTCAGCATCCCGTGGAGAGACTCCTGGCTGGTACTGAAAATCATAGGTAACCAAAACCCTGGTTCATACTAAGAAGGTGAAACCCATTGCCCACCCAGCAGCTCCTCTGGGGCTCAGATGTGCTCCCAGATCCATATGCAGATGCTGCAGTGCTTCAAAGGAGCTGCAGCAGTTGTGTAAAAGGATCCTGGAATATGTCTGGTCTGAGCCCCAAAGGCAAGCACTAGCTGCAATGGAGGAGACAGGGAAGTAACAAGATAGGAGAGGCACCATTAACCCTTTTAGACTGCCAGCCAAACTATTGCCTAGGGCCAGAGTTTAAAAATTGCTCAGCATCACTCCCATAAAATATGGCCTTTAGTTTCCAAAAGGTTAAGAATCTGTTTTAAAAAACCAACTGGAATAAAAGTAGTAGTGGGAGAGGAGAGAAGGGAAATTTTCTTATTTCACCAGGGTTTTTTTTTAGTAAGGGGTGTATATAGCAGTTGGAGTAACTAGTTTATAGTGAAAACTAGTGACCCTTGGATTTAAAAAAAGAATGAGACTATTAGTAGACTAGTATCTTCATTTTTGCCTTTTGAGATGTCAAATTTGTCCGACAATTTTTCAAGCACTGTGTGATAATTTCCCATTAAAATACACATTGTACTTATATAGCACCTATAATCACAGGCTCTCAAAGGGCAAATTCTATAAAATGTAACTATAGTCCCTTTGAGGTAGGGAATTAACTATTTTAATTTTATAGATGATAATCATAATACTTCAGATTGCTCTGGCACCTACCATCTGAGGATGTCACACTTCTTCACAAACATTAATGAATTAAGCCTCACAGCATCTCTGTGAAATATTATCTCCATTTTACAGATGGAGAGGCTGATGGGAGACAGGTTAAGTGATTTACAAAGGTCATATAACAAGTTAGCAGCAGAGATGGGTACTGAATGGTAGGAGACAGACTATCCAATCGGTAGTTCAACCATTGACCACATTGTCCCCCTTCAGTTAGAGTCCAAATATAATTTTACATCTAAACACAGTATTAGTCAGGAATGTTTCCAGGTTATCTTTTGTTCAAATCCTCTGTTTTAAAATGACCTCTACAGTTTTGTCTTCAGAGTAAATATTCAGATATGCTGAAGTCTTAGTAAAGTGAATGTAATGGCTCAATCTTAACCATGATCATAAGAAACATCTTAATGGTGGTGTGCTGCTGAGAGTTATACTTCATGTACTGCTGTGATGCTGATGTTTATGGATCCATTTTGTAAGCTGCTTTGATGCATTTATTCCTTTTCATTATTCAGATGAAGAAAAAAGCAGCCAAACAAGTCAAGAAGCAGAATCTGTTTTATCTCAAAACTCTGAGTGTATTAGTGCCCATGACATGGATATTCAGGTAATATTACTAAACATAATTCACTGGACATTTAAATAAATGCCATAACTATCAAATGCAGGATGCCTTTTAAATAAAACACTAGAAACATAGTCATAAATTCAGAAGGATAAAAATTGAGATTTGTTGTTGGTTGTTTAAAAACTACATGCAAAAGAGGAGTCCAGACTACATTTAGTCTCACTATATGTCTCTTTACTCACCCAAGTCATGCCTTCCTGTTTACACTGCTCTTTTTAGCAGTGTAGTGTCCCATTGCCTCCCTGCAGGAAAAGACTGGCAGTGGGGAAGGGATCTGGCAACTGGGAGGTAGCGGGGAAAGGCTCTGCCAGCTCTCTGCTGCTTGGATCCCTTCCCTGCAGCAGGGAAAGATTCCAGGAATGCGGAAAGGCTCTGGTGGAGGGAACGCTTCCCCACTGCCATAGTCTTTCCTCGCTGCAGTGAAAGGCTCCAGCAGTGGGGAGCTGTTTAAACCTTTTCCCGCTGCCTCCCCTCTGCCAGAGCCTTTCACTGACACATATAGCTACACACTGCAGGGTGGACACGGCATGCTTTTCACTGTGGCATGTTAGCCATATGCACACTATACCCCGCCTCCAATGGTGTGTAGTGTAGATATAGCCAAAGTAGCCTAAGTATCTAGCAACATCCGCTGGAGCTGGGTAAGTACTTTAACTATAAACCTGCTTGTCAAAACTGTTCTAATTGCCAGGGTCTCCTGTAATTTTGAAGAGGTCAGACTATTAGGGTCCCTCTATTTCCAGCTCTTTTGCAGTACTTTACGAGAATTCATACTCACCTGTGCAGTAAGGCTCGGGGAAGTTATGAAGTAGTCATTAGGATTAGTTGAAAACCATTGGCATCTGAATTGTCTTAAAGCCTCTGGAGAACAGAAGAGGAAATAGCTAGAATGAAGTTGGCCCTGGTGCCGCTTTGGGGAAGGCACTGCCCATCGACTGGCTGACTAAGTATGAATATGCTTGCGTTCTGTAGCGCTATGGGAGCTGGGCACTTTGGCCTTGTCTACATTAATAAACACCATAGCTGTAACTGAACTCCAGAGAAGCTCCGCTGTGGGAGAAGCACTAGTGTAGACCAAGCTTTGGAATTTTTGCCACTATGCTGTAGAATTAAGTGAAGTGGTAAAAATCCCCACGTCCTGTCTATGCTCCATTGTTGCTATCACTGGTAAAGCTCCAGGGATGGTGAATCATAACTATGACATTTACTAGTTCAGATGCAGCCTTTACAAGCCAACGTAAATCTGGTAAGGCAGATGGCAAGGAAGGTGGAGTTAGGATTGCCAGATTCCAGTTTAGTTGCAGTAACAGCCTGACTAAATGAATCCCTATCTTCCAAAGGAATCTGGGATGAAGAAACCAAATGGAATACTCTGGAATGTTTTTGTATGTGTTTTTATTGTCCTTGGTATTGCAATAAGCTGCCTTTGTCTGCAGACATAATTGGTTTTAAAAGGACTAAATGGCAAGAGTTATGAGCCAGTTATACTATGTAGTGCTTCATAGAGGGGACTTTCAAAAGCGTGCGAGTTTTTACATTGATTTAAAAAGGATCAGAGTTATCAATGAGAGCTTAATATGTCCAGAATTAGTGATCCATAGGAAAACAAATGATTCATGAATGTTAATTTGTATGTGTTACTGATTGCTTTCTCTTCAGATGGACACTAAAACTGAAGATGTCCTTCTCCAAGCCTTGGATATTGTCGCCTCACATTCTAGTCTGAACACTTTCGGTTGTAATGTTTCAGAGGTGAGGGCCAGGTACAATCAAGAGTTTATCAAAATACTCATCATCAGTGCATTTTTGAATGAAATCTATTTTTTGGCACGTGGGCACCCAAGGCTTTCCCATTGTTGCCAACTTTTGCAATACTTGGTATTTTTTTTAAAGCTTCAGTTCCTGGAGCCATGTTATTACAACAGAATCTCAGCTTACCTTTTTTTGTTTTTGTTTTAAGTGAAAGATTCTAGCCCTTGTGGTTCCAGAGAAAAATTTGAAAATGTGTTACCTAAATGCTGAATAACCAGAGGACAAAGAAAAAAGATGCAGTTGTTACTTTTTCAAATCATTAATTTTTGTGGCCTGGCTCAAGACTTCTGAACACTTGGAGCTGGCAAAACTGTTTTCCATGCATGTCTACCTGTGCATATATATGGGCTCTCTAGCTCATAACGGGACAGCACTAGGAGACCGCAAGGGGCCCAGCTGGGGTCAGGTAGTCCATAGTTATGTGACTCCAGTAACCAAGAATCCTCGCAGAAGGGCCACATTGCATTGTACCCCCTGACTAGAGAAAGACAGATTCTAAATTTCCTCCTCTGGCAAAAACCTGCTAGATTTCCCACCCAAATCCTATTTATTTGGGCCTTTTTTGGGGACATGTTAAATTCACTTGGAATGAACAGTGAATTTGAAAGTAAATGTCAATAATTGGCTGTTTCTCAACTGTATTGACACTGTGATTTGCTTCCACTCTTTAAAGTGAAATAATTTTTTAAATAAAATCTTTATTCAATATTAGCATTTACGTGATATAGCAGGTTATAATAAATCAATTGACACGATGCACATTGAGTGGATTGATTATTTTAAATACATATAAGGTATGGATATTTTGTGCAAAGTTCTGCTTTGAGACCTATACAATAGTAATCAATTTTAGTATATTGTTAGATTTGGTATTGGATCTCAGGGAGACCACTATACCAAATCTGAATTCTTCCATGCAGATCTAAAAGGAAATTTTTTTTAAGCAACAAAGAATAATATTTATGAAGTGCAACTACTCATACATAGGAAATCATCATTTCTTTAAGTGAGATGACTCAGGTTCCCTTACTATGCCAAACTATGTCATGATTTATACCCCATGCTACCCCACTGAAGTAATTTGATTTTGTATGGGGTCAAAGTTAGCAGAGAATTTGGCCCATAGAATTTTAAACAATTGTATCTGTCTTCTATTCTTCCTTTCAGTATATTTTCAAAACTAGTCTCTTGTTCTTCAAATATCGCAGTTGTTAATCTCCAAGATGACATTTTCTGAATTGCTCTCATTTTTGTTCTTTCAAATTTTTTTTAAACTTTGGATGGAATCCAAATTTTTACATTCGAAAATATTTCCTGAGATTAAATTTCTGTTATTGTTCCACATAGGGACAGTAATGAGAAATATCTGTTCCCAAACATATTGTTGTCTTTATTTCAAACCTCTTACTGCAGGCATTAATCAATTTATAGCCATGCAGAAATTTCATTAAAAATGCACCCCTAAACTTCTAGATGGGGCAGAATGTATTGTGCTGGGTGAAGTACAACCCTGTATTTCAGCTGGGAATGATGTAAAATAAGAATGATGCAACAAAAGACTCATTAAACAAACACACAAAAAAGGAAATGTGGTTTCAGTTTGGTCCCTTGTCTCTTCTTGCTGCAGAAGGAGAGTGTAAACACTGTTTCCAGAGCTGAATTGCCAATAGATGATGTCATAGACACCGATTTGAAAGCCGCTGGGACACCTACCTTAGAGACTGATGAGAGAGATTCCTTTCATCCTGTGTACAGAGGAGCTGTAACTGCTTTCTGTATTCAGCTATTCTGTATTGATGAGAAACATGAAACAAGGCAAGTATAGACATATAGGTATTCGGTTTCTAATAATTTAACAGAAACCTGATTTATTAAGGCAGTTGGGGGAGTGACTCCATCTGCTGCAGTTAAGGTTGAATTAATTTCCATCTAACTGCTTGCATGCATTCACTCGTAACTTTATGAAGCATTCACCTTCCACTTAAAATTTTTCACACATCTCCTCTGATGGGGTGTCCTATGACAGAAAAGTTACCAGGTTGCAATACAAACAGCCATCCTTTTGGGGCCAAATACTAATTGCAGCTGTGGAACAAGGCTCACATATCCTGTAATGGGGTATATCTGCCTTTTTAGAGTGGAAGGGGCCAGAAGATCCCATGCCAGGGAGCTGGAATGAACAAAGACCCAGGAAATGGCCTGGTAGAGGAAAAGAGAAAGCAGTGCCAGGGAATAAGGAATTGGATGGCGGGAGGTGGGGGGAGGGGCTCCAGGATTCTATTCCTTTAAGGGCCTGGGATCAGGAGCCCTGTGGGTAGGATGTGCCAGGCTCTCCTCTCTTCCAGTCAATCAGGAGGAGCTCTCTGGAGGAGGACAGTATATAGACTGCCCTCTCCTTCAGAACAGGGGAGACAGTGGCAAAAGAAGGAAGCCAGAGTCAGAATGCTAAACTCCAGGGAGAGAAAGCTGTGAGAAGCTCTACACCTTAATACAAATAATAAATAACAATAATATGTGTTTGCTCTGGATCATGTTGATATTTCCATAAGGATACATCTGAAGCACGGAATGTATTTCAGATTTCATATGGAAACAGCAACAATACTGTGCATTGCCTGTTGGATTGGTATCAGTGTTGCATGTTTCCATCAAATGCTTGGTGATCGTGACCGTGAGCCTTAATAGATGAGTGAATGTCCTTCCTTATCTAGATGAAAGATGTCAGATATACAACCTGCAGGCCAGATCCAGCCTTCATAAGATATTTATGTAGCCCACATGACCTATTTGGATGCTCCAGAATCTAATATTTTTAAAGTAAATTTGTAGCCCGGGCGACTGCAGAGTGTAGTCTTCTAAATATGAACTGTGTGTACACAATATTTCCCTGCTAGTGATGTATGCCTGAGTCTGCAGATGTCTTGGAACAATGACCCAGAGGAGTCAACTCCTCTGTTAATCTGATTGGAATGTCAGTTTTACAGTCCCATGATGACACTTGGGTGTCAACTGTAACTATTCGGTCACTGATCACTCAGCAATAAACATGGGTAAGAGGATGGCAGTGAAACACACTGAATTGGAAGTAGGGGATTGAAACTGAGAGTTGCTGCAGAGAAGGAAATGTAGGGGAAAGAATAGAGGAGACTCACAAAGGCCGAGAAAGTGGTGGGAGAGAGGAGGCTGTTGAAGAAAGAGAAACAAAGAGCAGAAATAGCAGTGGTCCTAATGGGAACAGATTTTCTCACTGATTGATGAACGCAACAATAAGCACCAAAATAACAAAATGTTTCATTATTATTTATAGGTCTTATTGTCCCTTTGATCTCTGTGCATATCTCTCACTGACACTGTGCACTATGTGAAGCATATAGTCCTGAATTTATACCCCAGGCCACAGACCATAAACATAGAATTTGACCCTCTCCTTCAAATGAGTGATGCCCTTGATCTAGATGATTGGTTTATCAGAAAACACTCTAAAAAGTCTCCAAGGATGAGGTAGTTTACTCACTAGGAGCTTGTCTACATGGGGAAATGAACAGGCACAGTTATGCCGCTGTAGTTATATCAGCGTAATTTCTGCATCTACACTCATTATTTGGAAATAAGAGAGTGCACACAATGAGTTTACACCAGTTTAACTACAATGGTATAATTATACATTGTAAATATGTTGGTAAATTTCCCCATGTAGACATACTCAAAGTCCACGTTTGTACCTCAGAAAGAATTATAGTATGTAGCAGCTCTGCTAGATTCTACTTCTCCAGGATGAGATCTGTATCACTATGGATCTGACAGATGATTTACCAGAGCCAACAGGTGTTTCCTAGAGATGAAGTCATGAATTTTGAGTCTGATGATTGTAACATTATTTGAAATACCTGTGGCACATTTCCACATGAGACAGCCTCAGGAGACCCTCAGTGACTGACAAAATCTAAGCTTCACTTAGTGGTAGTCGAGAAACAAAGTACAATTAGCAGTGGACTTCAAAATTCCTTCAATACCAACTGGATTCACCAAAGATGCATCCTGCTTGGAATGGGCAGCCCCCCCCACTCCCCCAAGGTGTTATGCACCCCATTGAGTATCCGCAACTGTATGTCTATTTTCTGGATATGATGGCAGTCCTAATTGTTCTAAGAACCTTGTGATATTTTAGAATCCCAACAGGTGGCTATGTTTCAAAAAGACAATCAGGTTTTTATAAACAAGCAAGGAGGGCCAGGATCATGCCTCTTAGGTCAGGAAACCCTGTTAAGTGTAAGACTGGGCAGTGTCCCACAAGACATTCCCTTGTTGCGTACCTGGAAGAAAAAGGAAAGGTTGTATCGAGAGGTATATGTGCTACATGTGCAAGTATCCATTATGTTTGCATTCAGGAGAGATGCAAAGCAGCCACATAATCTTCTGTATGTTTTTTACCAAGCAATCTTGCCTAGATTCAGCATCGAGAGAGATCTATCCCACTTTGCGCTATCAGTTTTACAAATCTATGGGTTTGTATACCAAGGGAAATTGATGGCACAGCTACCACTGAATTCCACGATACCTATTCTGGAATAATTTCCCCATGTGGACACTCTAATCTAAAATAAGAGAAGTGGAGTGATTATTCCATAATAAGATCACTTTTATTTTGTGACAGTGTATCCATATGGGACAGTTATTCCGGAATAGCTCCCAATGTAATGGAATAGCTATAGTGGAATCGTTATTCTGCTATAACTGTGCTGGGAAATTTCCACCATGTATACAAGACCTATTTGTGGGTTAAGAACATCCAGCTCTCCTGTCCTCTAGCAGTTTTGTTTTGCTGGGGGATGTATCTTTAATTTATTTGTCCACCTTTATATTTTTCTCTTGACATTTCCCCCTTCTCACACACCATTGTTAATAATGCTCAAGGTATGTTCACCTTGCTTATCATTATACACTACAGATTGCAGTCTCCTTTAATTTTTTTCTTAGAGACATCTTTGGAATTGTTCAGACTCCAAGATGGATATCTTTAGGAAAGAGATCATTACTTACCTGTAACTATTTTTCTCTAAATTTAACACTCAAACAGCCTCCTCTCCATGGAGTTGAGTTGTCTGTAAATCTTGTGACTTAAATATATATTATAATAATAATAATATAAAATATATATCTTTCTCTCTTTAATTCACTTTACTTGAGTGTATGTTTACCTTTTTCTGGGAAAGAAACAGGCCATTAGAGCACTGGGGGTAGCATAGGTATCTGAGTGGATGGCATGAGATAACCTAGACTGGGAGTGGTATCTTAGAATTTGTACTGAAGGAGTTCCTGCTGAACTTGCATGCAGAAGCACAGATCCAAGAGCAGTAATTTGCAGAAATGTAACAGTTACTGAGAAGTAACTATCTTTTACCCCTCAAGGGGAATTCAGTAGTGAAGAATTTGTACTATCCATTAGGTTATCAAATGTTTTCATCTCTTTAAATCTAGAGCCAGAATGTGGACTGGAAGTGATATATGAATGAACTAAACTTCCAGTTGATCTGAAATGAGATTCTTTGATCCTTTGTTAGTGACAGAAAAAAGTTTGATTCCTCTGGTGTTTCCCCCCATTCGTGAGCCCATTTCTGTTGAGAAGATACTGAGTGTTGGAGAAAGGGAAATTGCATTGTCATGGATTTACTATATGTGCGGGGGGGAAAAGACTCATCTCAATGAAGCATAGCTTTACATTTATATTGTACAGGATAGGCGAATGTTTTACTGCATTATTTTGATTCTACAATCCCAGTCCCAACGTGTGGAGTCGTATTTTAGCATGACCAGACAGCAAATGTGAAAAATTGGATCGGGGGTGGAGGGTAATAGGTGCCTATATAAAACAAAGCCCCAAATATCAGGACTGTCCCTATAAAATCGGGACATCTGGTCACCCTATTGTATTTTCATAAAGTTTCACTTTTATCCACTCAATTATAAACACCTGAGTTAAAAATGATTACTCTTTCCATTCTTATTGGGACTGAAACCACAGGAAGGTTATTTACTTTAATTGTTTACTGCCATCATGGTTAGTCTTTTGAAATAACTTTGTGTGTGTTGGATGCATATAAAATACATACTTTTTTCTCTTTTGAGAGCGTAGAAATAAAACTTCCACATAACTCTTGCTGGGTTTAGAACAGTTTCATGTTCTTTTATGTAGCAGAAACCGGATAAAATAATTAAGTTTCTATTGTCTTACTCAACTTGAACATTACATTTCACTTTCACCAGGGAAAAGAAAGGGGATTTATTCTAAAACGATAGGTGAAAAGTGAAAAGAAGGGAAATGTATAGGAACAATTTTCAAAGTATACCTATCAGAGGGGTAGGCCTGTTAGTCTGTATCCACAAAAACAATGAGGAGTCCGGTGGCATCTTAAAGATGAACAGATTTATTTGGGCATAAGCTTTCATGGGTAAAAAACCCACTTCTTCAGATGCATGCACTGAAAGCTTTTACCCACGAAAGCTTATGCCCAAATAAATGTTAGACTTTAAAGTATAGATGTTCCTTTTAGTTTTATAGGTATTGGATAGGTCTACTGAATGGGTATTAGTGGAACAGTAAGTCTTTTGGTGCATGATGGAAATACCTTAGTCCTTAGCTACAACTGTTTGTACCCCCTGGTGATCAGACTTACTGGGCACTAATGCTACTCAGGCAAAATTTCTAAAAGTCTCCTGCAGGATTATTCTGAGTAAACATCATCTTACTTTTATTTCTTTCTCGCGCAGAGGAGACTTCTCTTGAATTAACAAGCTCAAATCTCTAGGTTTACTGTTGCTTCCATTGCTGCCTTAGGTCCTAGAAAATGACAACTGACATAAAGCGTACAACTTCTGCAATTGATTAGTGTTGAACTAAATTTCCGATTAGAAAGTATGAGTAAGTGCTGCCTGGATGGATGGGAGAGAGAAATATTTTGAAATATACAGTATATATTGAATATGATTTTGTTTATTCACATAAAAGTGTTTGCTCTTGGTTGCAGGTCACTGGATTTCTTGCAATATGTTTTCAACCTCTTTCCAGTACGTATAAATGAAATCTTAAGGTGAAACAAGTCTTTTCTTTGAAAGTGAATGAAAATGGTATGATAAGAAATAAAATCACTTGTAACTTGTACATCGCTAGATTCCCCCCTCTTTTTGGGGGGACCCCCCCACACCAGCGTTAGGGGCCTGTGGGAAGGAAATCTCTGTGAGGAGTCACTTGTTATTGTGGGGTGGTAGCACTGCAATGGATAAAGTTGAGATTAGTTTACAGTTTAACGGCAGTTATTTTTTTTTCAAAGTGCTCTGAAATTCACATGCTTACTCTGATTGTCTTGAAAATTGCTGTACTTCATGGGGATCTGGGATAGGGTTAATTATCCAAATTTGATGCTCTTTGGTCAAGGAGTTGTCAAGATACAGGCCCCCCCCCCCAAAAAAAATCACGTAACATCAATGTTTTAGAATTCCTATACTTCGTTGTGTACCCCAAGGATTCAAACTTTGGCTCAGATCCACCACAAACTGATTTCACCTCTTGGGATTGATCTCAGCTAGAGATCAGCACCCACTACCCCTATAAGAAGCAATATTTTAAAAGTTATTCAAGCTCAAAGTCGGATCTACAAGGTGGGTTGAGCTAGGTTGATGAGTCAGAGAAAGTAATTTGTGTACGTGCAGCAGAACTGGGGCTCTGTTGCAAGTCAAAGTATTTGCAGCCAGCCTGATGTCAGAGTAGGGGGCTAACTCAAGGTTACAGCCTGTGGCTATTTAACCAGGGAAGTGCACACGTACTCTGAGTTTGAGTCCTGGCACTGAGGCCATTTCTGAGAATGTGTGTTGTACATATTAGTTGCTCTCTGCCTACATTCTGCCGTGGATCCTCAGGAAGTTTTGCACTAACAAGTAAATTTCTGGTTTGACAGCTGATATTTCAAACTGCTCTAAAATCTACAGAGACAATCCTCCATCCCACAACCTTAACTCTGCCCTCTGAATGATGCCTCAACGTGGTCCTGACAGACCTCATAGCACTCTATCCTTCCAGATGGTATGGAGCACTGTGGGGAAGTGGCATATGGGTACAGTAAGAGAAACTGTCAGATTGGGTCCCCTCTAAGATAAAAGTTGTATTTAGGGGACCTCGGATCTTAAAGCATGAGGTTCAGTTAAAAAGTCTGGTTGGACTTGTAGCCAAAATTCATCAACATCTGTATGTGGTCCAATCACCACTAGAGGGGGACAGAGTGCCACAGAGTGTAGGTGTGAATTATACTTGCAGCACTGTGTCCATTTTAAATGTTGATCTACATTTATGTGTCAGTTTTTTCTTAAGTCTCAGTGGGAACCTTTTTAAAATTTGTTTTTAAAATCACTAATAACCTGTTTGTTGTTTATTGACCGATATAGAGTATTCTTTGTAAATCTTTTCAGGACAAAGACTTTTGCATCATCACAGTGCCACATCTTGTGCCGGAATTCCTTCTGATCCAGAATTTTGTTCGAGTTAATCCTTCCAGCAACTCCACTCTTGATCATGAGCTCTATGTGTTTCACCGTGCAGGCCTGCTCAAGTAAACGCTTTGCTATAACAAATTATATTAACATAAAGGGACTGTATAGACAGTGGCTAAAGTACATTATATTTTTATTTAAAATTAATTAATTAATTACTTTCCTTCAGTGACATTACAAATAGGGAGATGGCTACAAATGCAAAAGCAAACAAGCTTCACTGGCTTGCAAAAATTCATATTAAATGTCTTATAAAGTAATAAGCACAGTAAAATGCTTCATTAAAATGTTACATTAACAGATTCAGATTAGTTATAGATGCAAAGTGGTATAAAGGGATTAAATTCTCTGAATTATCTAATTGTAGACTAAGAGCATGTAATAAACATTTGTTTGTTCTTTATCTGTCCCATCTAATATCTTTCTTTGACAGATAACTGGCCTAGTGGATAATGGGGAAGCAATAGACATGATATAGCTGGACATTAGTAAGGCTTTAGACATAGGTTCACATGACATTCTCACAAGCAAACTAGGGAAATGGGGTCTAGATGAAATTTCTATATGATGGGTATACAACTATTTGAAAGACCATACTCAGAGTAGTTATCTATGTTTGCTGTGAAGCTGGGAGGGGAAGGACATATCAAGTCGGGGCTTGCAGTGGTCTGTCCTGGGTCCAATTCTACTCAAGATTTTAATTAATGACTTAAATGATGGAGTAGAGAGTGCGCTTGTAAAATTTGTGGCTAACACCAAGCTGGGAGAGGTTGCAAGCCCTTTGGAGGACAGGATTAAGTTCAAAATGACATTTATAAATTGGAGAATTGGTCTGAAATCAGTCCGATGAAATTCAATAAAGTGCAAAGTTTCAGAGTAACAGCTGTGTTAGTCTGTATTCGCAAAAAGAAAAGGAGTACTTGTGGCACCTCTTGCGTACTTTCCACAGTATGCATCCGATGAAGTGAGTTGTAGCTCATGAAAGCTTATGCTCAAATAAATTGGTTAGTCTTTAAGGTGCCAGAAGTACTCCTTTTCTTTTTGCGAATAAAGTGCAAAAGTACTGCACTTAAGAAAGAAAACTCAAATGCATAAATACAAAACGGGGAACAACTGGCTAGGTGGTAGTACTGAAGAAAAGGATTTGGGGGTTACAGTAAATCACAAATTGAAAATGAGTCAATGGTGTGATGCTGTTGCACTAAGGGCAGACACCATTCTAGGGTGTATTAACAGGAGTGTTGTATGTAAGACATGGGAGGTAATTGTTCCGCTCAGCTCTGGTGAGACCTCAGCTGGAGTACTGTGTCTGGTTTTGGGCACCACACTTTAAGAAAGACATGCTGCAGATTGCCTGAACTGTAAGGTCCTTATTGCACCTTCCTGTTCACTGTTTTCTGCCTACTGGATCATTACCATTTTAATCAAAGTCTGCCTTACCTTTGATGCAATGCATTTCTGAAACACACAGAACACAATGATAACTTCATTGGGAAAGTCATTTCATCACTTTATTTACCTCTTAGTTTTCTCTTGTAGTGCATGTACTTTGTATCTTTTGAGTTTTGAAATACTCTGAACATTGCTGTTTGCTGGGATATTGGCCATGGTCTTATGTCATGAAATGAATAGTTTATTATAACTCTTATGCTGTTTAGCATGATAAAGTTTCTTGCTATGAGATTCATGTCTTCCACCTCTTTCGTAGTGTAGTAGCCGTGCTGGGCCTGTAGCCTGCCTTAAAGGGCCTAGTGCACCCTGTTACAATTATATAGTGTTGTCAAGGTTCCTCCCACACTCTGAACTCTAGGGTACAGATGTGGGGACCTGCATGAAAACCTCCAAAGCTTACTTTTACCAGCTTAGGTTAAAACTTCCCCAAGGTACAAATTAATTTTATCCTTTGTCCTTGGAATATCCACTGCCACCACCAAACTCTAACTGGGTTTACTGGGAAATGTAGTTTGGACACGTCTTTCCCCCCAAAATCCTCCCAACCCTTGCACCCCACTTTCTGGGTAAGGTTTGGTAAAAATCCTCACCAATTTGCACAGGTGACCACAGACCCAAACCCTTGGATCTGAGAACAATGAAAAAGCATTCAGTTTTCTTACAAGAAGACTTTTAATAGAAGTAAATAGAAGTAAAGAAATCACCTCTGTAAAATCAGGATGGTAAATACCTTACAGAGTAATTAGATTCAAAACATAGAGAATCCCTCTAGGCAAAACTTTAAGTTACAAAAAAGACACACAGACAGAAATAGTCATTCTATTCAGCACAGTTCTTTTCTCAGCCATTTAAAGAAATCATAATCTAACACATACCTAGCTAGATTACTTACTAAAAGTTCTAAGACTCCATTCCTGGTCTATCCCCGGCAAAAGCAGCATACCGACAGACACAGACCCTTTGTTTCTCTCCCTCCTCCCAGCTTTTGAAAGTATCTTGTCTTCTCATTGGTCATTTTGGTCAGGTGCCAGCGAGGTTACCTTTAGCTTCTTAACCCTTTACAGGTGAGAGGATTTTTCCTCTGGCCAGGAGGGATTTTAAAGGGGTTTACCCCTCCCTTTATATTTATCACAAGTGTCCATCCCATGGTCTTGTAAATTCAGTTGCTCATTGAATAATTGCTCAGCAACACTTCCATTTTGAACTTGCAATTAGTCACCTCATGAATTATACCAATAATTCATGCAGTAGCGACAGTTACTCATGGGCCTAAGCAAAGCTTATTTCCAGACAAGGAAACTGGGCTTCTGTGTATTATGTAAAAACAAAAGGAGTACTTGTGGCACCTTAGAGACTAAACAATTTATTTGAGCATAAGCTTTCGTGAGCTACAGCTCACTTCATCGGATGCATACTGTGGAAAGTGTAGAAGATCTTTTTATATACACACAAAGCATGAAAAAATACCTCCTCCCACCCCACTCTCCTGCTGCTAATAGCTTATCTAAAGTGATCACTCTCCTTACAATGTGTGTGATAATGAAGTTGGGCCATTTCCAGCACAAATCCAGGTTTTCTCACACACCCCACACACACAAACCCACTCTCCTGCTGGTAATAGCTTATCTAAAGTGACCACTCTCCTTACAATGTGTATGATAATCAAGGTGGACCATTTCCAGCATAAATCCAGGGTTTAACAAGAACGTCTGAGGAGGGGGAGGGATAGGAAAAAACAAGGGGAAATAGGTTACCTTGCATAATGACTTAGCACTCCCAGTCTCTATTCAAGCCTAAGTTAATTGTATCAAATGGGCAAATGAATTCCAATTCAACAGTTTCTCGCTGGAGTCTGGATTTGAAGTTTTTTTGTTGTAATATCACGACATGAAAGTTATGTCTTATAAGCTTATGTCTTATAAGCTTATGCTCAAATAAACTGGTTAGTCTCTAAGGTGCCACAAGTACTCCTTTTCTTTTTGTGAATACAGACTAACTCTGAAACCTGTGTATTATGTAAAGAACCTATTTCATCTTCCACTTGGCCACATAGGAAGTCATTGAAGTAATTACTGGTAATCTCAGGCACAGCTGTTGAGTAATTCATCAGTGAGAATGGTAGCCATGTGTCCTTTTGATATTTGTGATCAAAATTTAAACTGGTCTTCAAGGTTTTGTAAAAGTCTCTATAGTTCCGCATAAATCACGTGCGTTCCAAGTGGTATGCATGTTTCCATGAAAGCACAAGGGTTAGGGCATCAGTGACCTTTCCTCCGACTGCTTGCAGTTCTGGAGGACTTTCCTTCTGAAGAGTCTCTGAAGTCAGACTTCAAAATTAGCTTGTGAGTGAAGTTCCATGATCAGAAAATCTAAAGGGGAAAATGGTTCAGGGTAGTGGGAAGATTCTGAAGAATAAACTCAATGTGCAGCAGCAAACTCGCTGTCACTTAAAGCAAAATATGTAAAGTAAAAGATCAATATATTCTAGAGGTACCATGAGCTTTAAAAATACTGGTGACTAGAAAGGGAGTTGCATAAAATGGATTAAAAGAGAAATCACAGGGTTGAGTTAAGGGGCAAAGTATAGACATGAAAGGGCAAAATCAGAAAAAGAATGGCACAGGCACAAAATGAGGTACTGATTAGCAAAGACAGTAAAAAGAATAAGAAAAAGTATCAAGTACACAAAAAGAAAGAGGATGGCAAATGGAAGTGTAGCTCTGCTACTTAACAGAGAAGGAGAACAAATAATAGATGACAAAGCAAAGGCTGAAATGCTTAATGGATACTTTCCTTCGATTTTCACTAAAAAGCATAATAATAATAATAGTTTCCTGCCTTTTTGAGCAGTCAGAGGAACTGGACCTCTAGAATGGGTTTATTCCATACTGGGAGAGAGATGAGAATACACAGACCCAGGACAGTGTTTCCTAATCTATCGTAATGACAATGGACCCAACTTTCTTGTTGAATGCAGCCTCCTTTTTTTGCAGGTGCTATTTTATTCATGCTAAAAAATTGCTTTCTCCAGTTAGCTGTGGGTACAAACATGACCTCTTGGACATCTAATTATTTAATTTGCTTAAACAAATATGCTAGTGCAAATCGAGTATCTAGAGGTAAAAGAAGCCAAGAAGCAAGATTCAACAGAGGAGCTAGGGAGCCAGGAAGTTCTGGTACAGAGACTAGAGTTCATTGGAGTGGTGCTTGACTCAACCTATGCCAAAGCGTTCCTGCTGCTTGAGAGGTTCAGGGCATTACCGGACCTCATTGCAGAAGTCCCTATGCATTTCCCCTGACCACAGCCAGGGTATGCCTGCGCTTCCTAGATCATGTGGCAGCATGCATGTATGTTGTGTGCCATGCCAGGCAAGGTACAGTATTTAAATTGTTATTTTTCTCTCCTTTTTAATTTTTTTTTATTTTTGCAGACTGCGCAAAGCTGAATTTGCGCACGTTAAATGCTTGTAAGATGAGACTCGTCTGTATCAACAGCGGGGGAGCTCGATCCTCTGCCCTATGCTAAGAGGCACTCCATCTTTGGGATTTCTGCATCGACCACGGAATCCATCTAGAAGGGTGTCACCTCCCAGTGGTCAAGAACACGTTAGCAGATCACCTAAGCAGGGACTTATAGAATTTCATAGAATATCAGGGTTGGAAGGGACCTCAGAAGGTCATCTAGTCCAACCCCCCTGCTCAAAGCAGGACCAATCCCCAATTAAATCATCCCAGCCAGGGCTTTGTCAAGCCTGACCTTAAAAACTTCTAAGGAAGGAGATTCTACCACCTCCCTAGGTAACGCATTCCAGTGTTTCACCACCCTCCTAGTGAAAAAGTTTTTTCTAATATCCAACCTAAACCTCCCGCACTGCAACTTGAGACCATTACTCCTTGTCCTGTCCTCTTCTACCACTGAGAATAGTCTAGAACCATCCTCTTTGGAACCACCTCTCAGGTAGTTGAAAGCAGCTATCAAATCCCCCCCTCATTCTTCTCTTCTCCAGACTAAACAATCCCGGTTCCCTCAGCCTCTCCTCATAAGTCACGTGTTCCAGACCCCTAATCATTTGTGTTGCCCTTCACTGGACTCTCTCCAGTTTTTCCACATCCTTCTTCTCTCATCACAAGTGGGCACTCCAACCAGAGGTAGCCTGCGCGATATTCCAGAGGTGGGGATCTCCCCAAGTGGATCTGTTTGCCACCAGGCACAACAGGAAGTGCCATTGCTTCTGCTCCAGACGGGGTCTGGGCAAGGGCTCCCTCTCCAATGCCTTCCTCCTGTCCTGGGCAGGAAGCCTGATGTACACGTTCCCCCCGATCCCGCTCGTCAGCAGGGTCCTGTCGAAAGTCAAGAGAGACAGGGCCCAAGTTATCATGATCGCACCAGCATGGCTGCGCCAACATTGGTTCAGCATGCTGTTGAGCTTGGCAGCTGTCCCCGCCGTGGCCTCTGCCGAATTGACCAGACCTGCTGTCACAGGACCACGGTCGACACTTGCACCCCAACCTCACGTCTCTCCACCTCACGGCGTGGATGTTGTGGCTGAACCCTGAAGAACGGACTTGTTTGGAGGGGGTCCAGCAGGTCCTCCTAGGAACCCTCAACTAGACAGACCTACCTGGCAAAATGGACAAGGGGTCCCACTGGGTGGCTGAGTGGGGCATCTCCCCTTCGCATTCTTTGGTGCAGTTGATCTTAGACTACCTGCTTCATTTGAGGAATCAGGGCCTGGCACCCTCCTCTACCAAGGTGCATCTGGCAGCCATCTCCACCTTTCATCCGCCCGTCCAGGGGCAGATGGTGTTCTCCCATGACTTTGACGGTCAGGTTCCTCAGAGGTCTTGAAAGACTTTTTGCTCAAGTTCGGTCCCCGGTCCCTCAGTGGGATCTCAGTTTGGTTCTGTCCAGGCTCACGGGCCCGCCCTTTGAGCCTTTGGCCTCATGCTCCCTGTCTCACCTATCATGGAAGGTAGCTTTCCTGGTGGCGGTGACGTCGTCGAGGCAAGTATCCGAGCTGCATACCCTGACCTTGGAACCGCCATACGCAGTCTTCTATAAGGACATGGTCCAGCTCTGGCCCCACCCGGCCTTCCTTCCCAAGGTGGTGTCCGCTTTTCACATGTGCCAGGACATCTTTCTGCTGGTCTTCTGCCCTAAGCCCCGTGAGACTAGTGAAGAGAGGCACCTCCATGCTTTGGACATAAGAAGGGCCCTGGCTTTCTACCTAGATCGGACAAAGCCTTTCTGTAGTTCGACTCATTTTTTCATCTCTACAGCTGAAAGGATGCAGGACCTTGCATGGCCCACTATGCCATACTCAGCAGGCCAGGGACGATGCTGGGTTCGGCAGAGCTGTGTTGCAATGTATGTTGCAATGTATGGGAACTCCTTACTCACCTCCATGGGTACTGCTTGAAGTCACCTAAGTTGAATGAACATGAGCAATCACTCAAAGAAGAAAAGACAGTTACCGTATTCCATAACTGGTGTTCTTTGAGATGTGTTGCTCATGTCCATTCCACATCCTGCCCTCCTTTCCCACTGTCGGAGTTTCTGGCAAGAAGGAACTGAGGGTGGAGGGGGCCGGTGGCATCCTATATGCCGCAGCACACGCACGCCACTCCAGGGGGTGCCAGACCTGGTCCCCTACAGATCCTGCTCAGAGAAAAACTTCCGGCACAAGTGCATGTGGCAAGCAAACACACCTAAGTTGAATGGACATGAGCAACATATCTCGAAGAACACCAGTTATGGAAAAAGGTAACTGTCTTTTCCTGGTGTTATAGCAATTGTTAAATTTTATATTTTTGAACCCTGCTTAATGGAAATACTTGGTTTTGTGAAGGTCAGGTCTGACATCCTCCCGTTGATGTCTGCAGAAGCTCATGTAATGTGCAACAGGAGGCAGATCCTTAGCTGGTGTAAATTTTGATAGCTCTATATTCACTTTATGCGAGCTATGACAAATTACACAAGCTGAAGATCTGTCCCCGGGTCTTTGACTGGAGTTGGAGAGGATGTCAGTTCTGGCATGTTCACTGTAGCCTTTGTGCAAGCTGAGCAGCTCTGGACTATAGACAAGCTTTCCACTGAACAGCTACACCTCTTGCTGGGCTTGTGGGGTTGCACACATAGCAACCTGTCATCTTACCCGGTGGGCCCTGTCAGTTCCTTCATCTGGAGCTAGTCTGCTCCAAAATGGAGAGCTACTGAGCTTCCAGCATACCAAGCTGTTAAGCCTCTTGAGTCTTCAGTCCCCTCTGCTTCATCAGCAAATTCCCCTAACCAAATCGCTGCACATTTAGTTAACTCGCTGTGCTCACATGTATGCCATACCTATCCCTTCTTCTCACTGATTATTAAAATAGTAAAAGATTTCAGAAAATTACTCACACTTGTCCCAAGTTCCTTGAGAACATGGTAGCAATAGCAGCCAAGAATACTTTTTTCCACCTTCAGATAAGTCTTCATGTCTTCCTCTTCTTCTTCAAGGGCATGGCAACCATGATCCATACATTCAGCATGTCAAGAACGGGTTACTGTCATTCCCTTTACCCAGAGCTATCAGTCAAAGCCAGTCAAACTCCACCTTTCCAAGACACAACAGCCTGTGTGGGACTAAACTGCAGTGAACACATAATAATAGATCTCCAACCCCCCGTCTCCCTTTTCATTTTAGGGTTCATTTCATAGTCACCATCTTTAAACATCTTCTTGGGCTGGGACAAGGCTTCTGTAGCACCTGCCTCTTCATCCCTAGCTCTCCAAGACTGCTGTGCTTATCAGGAACACAGTAGTGGAAGGGTCCAAAGGGAAGCTGTCAGGAGTTGGAGGTATTTTCAGTGCTGGGCGGCTGTGGAACATGCTAGCAAAGAAGATCAGAATATGATTTTTTTCTGGCCATATTCTGGCCTGTGTTGTAAAACTCACCTCTGCACCAAAGCCTACTCTCGGTAACAGATGCCATGACAGTGATTAAACAAAATAATAATTTTGAGTACAAGTGATGACACCCTAGGAAGGCAAGAGTGGAACTCACCATTGCTTTTTGTTTTATGCCCCTATAATTTTACTGTATTTCACCACTATTTAAGAGAGAGTAGCATATGAAAACAGAAGGATGGAATGGAAAACGTTCTGAACCCTTAGTCATAATGGTTGCTATCAGCAAGACTACAGCATTACTTTCTGGTTTAATTTAAAGCCCAATTCAAAACCTATTTTCTGCTCTCTTTTACTTTATTATACCCCACAAGTGACTCTCCTTGCTTCCCATCTGCTAGGCCTTCATCTCTTCTGCACATTAAGTGTTTGATTTAATGTTCCAGCTGAATCTATTTTAACTCTAAATTCAGTTTTACAAATTTAGATTTAAGGCCTGCTATTTTAACATTTAGTGAAACATTTATTTTAACATTTAGTGAAAGGAAAACTAACCCTGCAACAGTTTTTTTTTTTCCCTCCTTGGACTGCAGTAAACTTTTCCTTTTTTGGGGGCCATGTAATTTCATTTAGTCTGTGCCATTTTTGCTGACAGTCTAAGGTCCCAGTCCAGCAAACACGTGTGCTTAACTTTAAACATACAGGTAGACCTTTTGTCTTCAGGTTTCAGAGTAGCAGCCTTGTTAGTCTGTATTCGCAAAAAGAAAAGGAGTACTTGTGGCACCTTAGACACTAACAAATATATTTGAACATAACCTTTGTGAGCTACAGCTCACTTCATCGGATGTATCCGATGAAGTAAGCTGTAGCTCACAAAAGCTTATGCTCAGATATATTTGTTAGTCTCTAAGGTGCCACAAATACTCCTTTTCTTTTGACTTCAGTAAGCCTACCCACATGCTTAAAGTGAAGCAAGTGAGAAGGTGTTTTGCAGGATAAGGGCCTAACACAATGGTTCCTTGCCTTTATTTGTTGGAAACTTTTTGTTGTGTCCTTGATGTCCCCAATGTCCTCTTGCTCAGTGTTCCAGCATGGCTTCTTTAATCTGTTTTCTCTCTCATTATTCTTTTCTGTCTCTGTCCTTTTTTCCTAGTTTGGTCTGATAGTTTCTCTCTGTGTATTTTTCTTTTTTGGTTGATTTCTATTTTACAAGATTTTTTGGGTTCCTTCGTATGGTGGCTCCATCCTCATTCACTAGATGGCTACATGCTGCTTGGGAGTGGTGATGATGGGGTGGGCCGTATGTACTTTAACATTGGCCAAGTATTGTGCAGATCCATGTGGGACATTTTATGTAAATTATGTAATGAGATAATTTACAGGTTTGAAAATAATTTGCATAGAACAGTACATTTCATGTTTAAATAACTGTGTGGAGGTAGTGCTAGCGAAAGGCATTGACTTGATTGAACTGGCGAATGAAGTCTTCTGTTGATCAGCAGGGCAAACTTGTCATTTTTATCTCCTTTATTAGGTCATTTCAGGTCAGAGCAGCAACAACCAGTGATACACCTGCTGTTGAAATGCTCATCAAAACTCTTGACTTGAATGAAAGTATACTGGATGACTTAAAGGTCTTCACTCAAGCTCGCAGAGATCCAGTGAGTACTTGTTACAGACATACCAGTCGTTGTCCATTGCATTGTCCAATGTTAAACCTACCATATACTAAACAATCTTTCTTAGGGTCCAAACCTATTCCATTGAAGTCAATGGGAAAGTGGCCATTAGCTTCCAGAGGAGCAAGATTAGGACAATATACCTTACATCAATGGGACTCTGTTTCGGCACAGGGGTCCATCCATCTGGAGCTTATTGCAGGATTGGTCCCTATGTTAGGGAAAGATGACTGTAATAGAACAGTGCACAGAATGTACAGAGAGCAAAGTATTTTAAATTTAGTATGTTATTGGAATTTACAGTTAAGATCAAATAGCAAACTTAGAATTCTAATATTGTGTGTAAATCAGTGATCATATTATCATTTGTCTTTCAGGATGGGACACCAGTCCAGGCATTTGTAGCAGAAGTTTTGGATCAGATAGTTGGCATTTCTGTTATTAAAAATGAAATGGTAAATCTCGTTGTATTTTTTTCCTTTTCCCATTTAAGATGTGTGCCCTGAGTTTGCACAGTGTAATGCTGACTTCATTATTATTTGTATTACATTGTCCCAGCCAAGATCTTGGCCTTGTGCTAAGCACTGTACACACACACCATAGAAGTCCCTTCTCCAAAGAGTTTGCAGTCTACACAAAGATAGACAAAGGCTAGGGGAAAGGAAGGATTATTATCCCTTTTTACAGATGGGGACCTGAGGCACAGAGAGAGATTGTGACTTGTCCAAAGTCACGCAGGGAGTCTGAGGTGAAGCAGAAAATGGAACCCAAATCTCCTGCATTCCAATCTGAAGCCCTAACCACAAAACCATTCTTTCTTTCTCTCTGTAACTTGATACTCCTTTAAATCTGTTACTGCAAACCTGTATTTTGGCCCATATTTTCCAAACAGAAAATCAGCAGTTTGTCCCAGCATATTGAAAATGGCACTTCCACTCCTCTCAAATTGCCTTTTTTTACAATAGCTTCTGAGTAAAGTGCGTCATACACATTTAATTTCAAAGAAATTAATATTGTTTTAAAAATAGATGATGGATTGGGAGGGCTGGAGGGTAGAAGCAGACAGAAAAGCTGTTAACTGTAATTGGGAGGTGAAGAGAATGAATATTTCCAGTTCTGTTTTACGTTAGTTGCTGCAAATTTAAAACTTTCCTGGCATTTTGTTGGCACTAAAAAGGCAAAATCTTTCTTGAAAGATTTGTAATATTCAGTTTTAAAACCATATCAAGCAAGGTAAGGAACAACCATCTCTGTTTTCAGAGATGGTTTTTAATTTTTCCAAATGCATTGAAATCAGGGGTTACTGTCTGTAAGGTGGCTAAACTAGCGCAAATCCCTAACAGGATGATGAAGGAATCCATGCATGGGGCTCCTCACACAGATTTTCTTTCCAAAAGTCTCCTGCTCAGCTTTTACTGTGAGAGAGACAATCTGGCCTCTGTCTGATACCTTGCAAAATTTCTTTGTAAATATCTGTCAGAAAATGTCAGGCACTCATATGCTTTACTGCTAGGGTCAGATATACATTTCTTATAGTAAATAAAGCATGATGAGTTATACAAATTGATTTTGATACAAAGGAAAGATTATGAAGAAACCATTTGTTTAGCTAATGTGCTTTGCTAGTGAATAGCTCTCAAGGTAGTCTTGTTTCAATGTTCAAATTTCATCATTAATAAATATAAAGGCAGTTTGCTGTGACATCTTTATCACAAAAACACAGCTCTTTCATCATCACTGATTTAAAATGTCTTATTTCATAGGATATTGAATATATCCGTTCACATTACAACATTGAAGATTTTATTTACTTCAGTCACCACCAACAGGAGGAACATGGCCATCTGTACCACTTTGCTCTAAATCCCATATTCCATCACTATACCAAATATTTTCTGAAAGAGATCCTTCGCTTAGCCTACAAGTCTTGTCTCTACTACTCTATTTATCCACAGTCTGTGGACGGTGAGGTAAAAGAAAAAATTGGCAGTGATTTTATTAAATATCATACGTCCTGACCTTTATTTTCCTTAGGTTTTTTGTTTTGTTTGTTTGTTTTTCTATGACTGCATATATGGCAGGTGATTGGTATAGAGAAATTTCTTCAGAAATGTTGCAAACAACACTTTGTTCTCCTCTCAGATCACACAGTCTCCATTTGTGTTGATGGGTGACACATGGTAGAGCTAGACTGTGGGTTTGCTACAAGCTCTGTGTTTGGGGCAACACATTTAGTGTCTTCCCTCAGTGTGGGAATCATGCCTCAGAGAGGAATGATTTGCTCTCTACTTCCCCGCTTGCTTCAGTGTTGGCAGTAGTTTGGTTTTTGTCCATACCATTACTTTCCCCTCTGCTGACCAGTGCATTGTGGGGACTGTAGCCAAAATATTCCCTGCCCACTCCCAATGTATCTGCTCTAGGACAGATTAGTAATACCCCGTACCACTGGCACATCTGGACACAATGTTCAAATAGCCAAATGGGAGCAGTTTTTCCTCTACCTTTTGCCCCTCTATGGATGCATAGTTGAAGGAACAGTCCTGCTCATACTGTGTATTAACTGGGGAATACTCCATGATATTTTCATTGAATTGTTTAAGATGCTGATGCAGCTTGTGTACCCTTATATGACTTGCAGATCAGTTACATGACATATTTTAAAATGTCAAGATATAAAGCATTCATAGCTTCTTTGTCTTCACCTTGTAGTTCTATTTTCTGTTACTTTTTAGCCAAACTTTTCTGATCAGTCGTGTTCTCCCACCACATGTTTCTCAGACATTGCAACTCAGTTGCATAGTGGGTTTTGAGATGTACAGATGCTCACTTTTTATTTAGAGATTTAGGGTGGGATAGTGGGAAGAGGAGAAGGGGGAGGAAGAAGGTCACTGACTACAACATGATGAGAATAGATTAAGGATAAAAATTTTAAAAGTGCCTAAGTGTCTTAGGAGCCCTATTTTCAGAAGTGACTTATACACTTATAGAACATAAGAATGGCCATACTGGGTCAGACCAAAGGTCCATCTAGCTCAGTATCCTGTCTTCCAACAGTGGCCAATGCCAGGTGCCCCAGAAGGAATGAACAGAACAGGTAATCATCAAGTGATCCATCCCCTGTTGCCCATTCCCAGCTTCTGGCAAACAGAGGCTGGGGACACCGTTCCTGCCCATCCTGGCTAATAGCCATTGATAGACCTATCCTCCATTAACCTATCTAGTTCTTTTTTGAGCCCTGTTATAGTCTTGCCCTTCACAACATCCTCCGGCAAGGAGTTCCACAGACTGACTGACTGCATTGTGTGAAAAAATACTTCTTTTTGTTTGTTTTAAACCTGTTGCCTATTAATTTCATTTGGTGGCCCCTAGTTCTTGTGTTATGAGAAGGAGAAAATAACACTTCATTATTTACTTTCTCCACACCAGTCATGATTTTATAGATCTCTATCATATCCGGCCCTTATTCGTCTCTTTTCCAAGCTGAAAAATCCCAGTCTTATTAATCTCTCCTCATACGGAAGCCATTCCATACCCCTAATCATTTTTGTTGCCCTTTTCTGAACCTTTTCCAATTCCAATATATCTTTTTTGAGATGGGGCAACCACATCTACACACAGCATTTAAGATGTGGGTATACCATGGATTTATATAGAGGCAATATGATATTTTCTGTTTTATTATCTATCCCTTTCTTAATGATTCCCAACATCCTGTCTGCTTTTTTGACTGCTGCTGCACATTGAGTGGATGTTTTCAGAGAACTATCCACACTGGCTCCAAGATCTCTTTCTTGAGTGGTAACAGCAAATTTAGACCCGATCATTTACATATAGTTGAGATTATGTTTTCCAATGTGCATTACTTTGCATTTATCAACCTTGAATTTCATCTGCCATTTTGTTGCCCAGTCACCCAATTTTGAGAGATCCTTTTGTAGCTCTTTGCAGTCTTCCTGGGACTTAACTATCTCGAGTAGTTTTGTATCATCTGCAAATTTTGCCACCTCACTATTTATCCCTTTTCCCAGATCATTTATGAATACGTTGAATAGTACTGGGCCCAGTACAGATCCTTGGGGGACACCAGTATTCGTGTTTCTCCATTCCTCTCTCCACTTAGGAATCTAAGGGCTTGTCTACACTGCCCTTCAGTTTGGACAACAAACAAGACTACACTAATGTGAACTAGGAACTTTTTAGTTCACACCTGCAGCATCTACACAGAGGAGTTACCTCGCAGCACTTTGATGCATACTGCTATTCACATCTCAGTAGTCATAACTGGAGGGCAGTGTAGATATAGCCTCCGTGTCACTAAAAGTCAGTGGGGCCTTTGGCATCTCAGTCACTTTTGAAAATGGGACTTAGGCTCCTAAGTCACTTAGACACATTTGAAAATTTTACCTTAAATCTGCTTTTCTTTTCTAACACAGGGCCTGTCTAGATAGAAAGCTAGTACATAGCAAACTAGGGTGTAAATCTGTAGCACACTAGCATGCTGTTCATGGCTATGTAGACCCTTCTAGTATGCACTCAAAGTTCCCTAGTTCACATTGACCTATTCCCATTTCAAAGCAGGGTAAATTAAAGCACACTAGGACACTCTTAGTGCACTGGAGCAAGTTCCACACTGCCAGTTAGTGCACAGCATGCTAGTGCACCGTCAACATACATCCCAGCTTGCCACGCACTAATTCTCTGTCTAGACAAGCCCATATAGGAATCTTGATAAGATAAATACACAAATTTTCAGAAGAATCTTTTTGCTTCTCCAGCGTGTGTTCTTCTATACAGATTACCGCTCTGTGGAGGTTTAGTAATTGCCTCCTTGAGGAACTAATCTCACTGAGTAACATTTGGCTAATTGTCATTCACAGAAATGAAGGTAAACAGGAATGGGTGGAGAAGATGAGTTAAATCTTGGTAGTATTTTCTCCTTGGTCTATTTACAGGTTAAAACAATTTAGCTTTAATTCAGCAATGCAATTCTAATAAGTGGTAAAATATTATTTCGTTCAGCTTACATTGTAGTAACATTAATCATGATTTATTTTTTTGGTGTTGTGGCTATGATATAGACTTCAAAGGCACTTCAGTGTAATTTGCTTTCCATTAATGTCCACTCTGTTTCTCATAATTCTCCTGTTTTGTCTTTTCATGTGATGTATAATTGGGCCAGTCATGCTGGAATAAAGCTGCTTCTAATGACCTGCCCTATACAAGTTAACATTTGGAGGTTTTGTTCAGTTCAAATTTTTTCCAGTTTATTAACATTTATCACTTGGGTGAAATTGACATTTCAGTCAGTATAGATTTACTATATAAATTCTTATACCATCGTTTGCCAAACAAGCAAAGGTTAACAGTAAGCAGATAATACAGCTTAATGAGGTCAAATCAAGCTGATTCATGATCACTGTGGAGAAAAATATCCTCCTGGGGAAAATACTTGTGCTGAAAAATCCCATAAACCAAACCACTTGTTTATCTGTCATTCCCACAGAGATAGTAACGTAATTACTCTCATAATTATCTTCATTAGTGTCAGGAATTATCTGCAATTCATTCCTCTGCTCTGAGTATGTTTGTTTGTTTACTGATTTTTCTCTCAGATTTAGCCAACAGAATTAAGAATTTTGTATTTGCAAAGCCATACAACAGACATCTGTGATGCACTGTTCTGACATTCTCTGTGCTAAAATATAGATTGCTCTCTTTCAGTTTCAGAATCCCTATGCCCATTCCCTGACATCTGCCCTTCATTACATGGTTCCCGTGCGACCAAGACGACAGATTGTCTATCCTCTGGAAAAGCTTGGCATAAACGCTCCATCAAAGCAGGTCTCCAAGGATCAGGTGGGTAACAGAAGCAGCAGCAGGCAGGAGGCATAGTGCCAGCTAATGCAGGGTTTGGCAGATGGGATGACATTACTGTCTTAGTGTTGATAGGCTGCTTCTTAATTACATTGAATGTGGTGTTCATACCCTTACAGTCTAAGCTTTGCTTATGCCATACTGTATCTTTCTAAGCATATATTTCAAACTGACGATTATAAAGCACAGCCACTGAACTCTACAGTGTTTCCCTATTAGTAAATATTTTCAGGTTTGCTGTATTTCCTATTAAATTACTTTGAAACTCATAGATTTTAAATTATTTTAATTAAAACACAGATAGCTCTTTGTACTGATGATTTTATCCTTTATGTTGGTGGTCTGCTTTCAAGACAAAAAGTACAATGATACTCTTCGGACAACTCGTGTAGAAATACTGTTTGATGTATTTTAAATCAATTTATTCTTCAGACCCGCAGCCAGGCTTCTTTAATGCTCCAGAACCCCTTCAAAAACCACTGCAAAGTGTCAGGAATGATTTAACAGCAAAGTAGATCCCCTTAGTCAAAAGTATATATTCATAGAACTCTCATACAGCTTGAAGATGCTAAACTGGAAGCTTGTTAAAGTTAAATTTGTTACACTTTTGTGGATAGATTTTTTTAAATGACTAAAATCTACAAAGATGTTTTTTCTGAAGTAACCAATGCAGTTAAAATGTCAGGGGAAAAAACACATCAGTGATGGATATTTTCTGTAAGTGGATGTAATTTACTTGGGGAAACATAATTAGAGAATTTTACATCTCTTTAATGCTGATTCCAGTTCACTGAGACAGGATAATGTATAATATCCTTTAGCACTGTCCCCTCCGTAGTTGGTAGATAGTTTATGGCATTGGAAACTCTTAATTAGGTAACAGTTGACAAAGCAGAATCCCAGAACCTGTCTCAGCCAGTTGGATTGTGTGTTGCTCTTTGGAGCAACACACAATCCATAAAAGTCTCTAATTAATCTTCCCCTTCATATGCAAAACATTTCTCCTGCCTGCCTATCCTCTGCCTCATTGGCTGCCTATCCTTTTCCTTTAAACTGCTTCCTATGTGTCTTCAAATTACACTCAAGTTGCCTTAATGGCAGAACCCATTACCATTTTTGCTGGAGCCACAAAACACGACCCTCACTTGTCATTTTTGAGAGTTTTGTGTTTGTGGGGTTCATAAAACACTATGCAAAGGTCCTTCCTGAGGATTTTGGGTAAGACTAGTGAGAATTGCTTGAAGCCTCCCAAACTTAACTGAGTCCTTTTATATGAAAAGGTGTGGACTTTTCAGGTCACCACTAGCCTTTTGCTGAAAGAGAAATGGAGCCCAGCTGCTTCGCTAGGGTCTTCACATATGCACTAACATTCATAAATGATTTTCAAAGGGCTATTTTCTATCTAAACTGGAGGTCTTGGTCTGCTGAGTCCCCAGCAACTTGAGGGTTACTCTAGTCCACTACCACTGCTCATAACTTTTTGAAGTAGTAGCAGCATGAAACTAACAAGACTGAATTGGCTCTTCTGCTAAGCAACTACCGTGGCCTTTGACAACAAAGAATTGTGTCATTTTAATAACTTAGTGAGGTAGGCTGATTGCAGTACTGAAAATAGGAGGCAGCCTCTGCTTTCTGATCCTGTCTCTTTCACCGATTCCCTTTGTGGCCTTGATCAAGTCACTTGCCCTCCTTGCACTCAGCTCTCTCAGGAAGGAAGAACTGTACCCATGAATAATCCTGTTCACCCCACAGAATCCCACAACCAAGTCAACAATGTATTGTGATGAAGGGAACTGGAGGCTACAGCTAGAACTAATACAATCAACTGACATGGATGTGATTATTAAATTTTTATAATATGGTAGAACTCAAAGGTCCCAGTCAGGCGCAGTACAGACAGAAAGACGGTCTCTGCCCTGAAGAGCTTAAAATCTAGACCAGACAAAAGTGCAGAGAAGGAGGTGGTCAGGTTGAAAAATGTCATTTTGTTTCCACATGTTAAAAGAAGTCTGCAATGTGGGGGCTAGGTTAAGGTAAGTAGGGTTAGTGAAAGAAATGAGCTAATAGGAGCCCAGAGTAAGAAAAAGGGAAAGAGTATATTGATGAGGGAAAAGAGAGGAAGCAAGCAACTGATCAGCAAAGAAATAAAAATATCCAGTGTTCAAACTTAAAGCAGAGTCTGATGATTATATCCCTTGCATCCAGGGGTTCTGAAGCAGGATATCCTCCTAGCCACATGGATGGGAAAAGGGGTCGCAGTGGGTCGTGGTGTCCCGGAGGGGTGGGGTCACACTTCTAGATCCGAACTAGCTGGAGGTTCCCAGTTTCGCTTCACCCACACATCTGTGTTCTTGTGTTCCCAGCATCTGTTCAGTGGGGGAGCCTTTCTCCTGATTGTGAGAAGTATTTCTTCTTGACCAGTGCTTGTGATCACTTTGTGCCTTGATGCATAAGGACTGAGATTCCTTGTAATTTTCATCTTAACTTGTGTAACTGCAAATCTTTTCCCTATTAAACACGGCACAAAAGCTGTAGTGTCAAACAATCATAATTCGGGAAATGTGACATTTTTCATTTGAATGTCCATTATGACCCACTACTGAGTTTCTCTGTACATTTTTGCTATGGAAACAATTCTACTAACATTCTTGCTTTGGTGCCCATACCCTGCTCCTTAATGCCCATCTGCCTCCACTCTGCTGCCTCTGCAGCTTCAGACCTGCTTTCTGCCTCCCTGTTGCCTGCCCTCCTCTCACTCCAGTTGCTGGGACTTGCCCATGTCTGTCTCCTGGAGTAACAGCTTCAGGCTGAGCAGCTCAGAAGTTCCCTCGCTAAGGACAACCTTTGATTTGCACACACACCCCATGGACCGTTAATAGCTTAGTATCTTAGGGAACTTCGCACATTGGAAGCCCTGGGGCACTAGCGACTTGTGTAGCCACTTTAACATGTTCCAGCCGCCTTGTGAGCATGAAGAGATTCACTCCTAACTATTGTTCCACTTGGGATAATTCTGATAGGGTCTACAAGGACCCACTTCACCCCTTTCATTCCTCCGAAGATCAGATCAGAGATGTAAACCAGAAGACCTTTGCCTCACTTAATTCACAGTGCATGAGATTGCCAGTCCAGACTGAACTCGGCCTTGTTGGGAGGAGGCAGTTTCCCTGCGAGCCTGGACCGGTTCTGTCACATACAAATGAGCGTTAGTTGTTATCTCTTCTCGTTATGTGCTAATTTTTCTATCTGCCCCCTCCATCAGCTTTTTCTGCTCTCCTTCCATGGCTTGAAAAGAAACCTATCCTCCTGCAGAAGATTCACAACCTGCTGAGCATTAGGGCAGTTCACTCTGTGCCACGCTCAGAGAGAAAGAGCTCTGTTTTATAGTGTCCAAGACACCATGGATCTGTCTCCCCTCAATCCCGTTATATGGAGAACCATACTCAGGGTTGAGACAGTGACTCTTCAGATCCAGGAGATCTGTAATATGATTGCCTGTCTTTGGTGGACCATTACCCCTGTATGTCCATACACCCTGTTCTCCACCCTACATACACCCATACACCCATCCATACACCCTGTTCTCCAGGATCCTTCATATCTGCCTAGGTTAGTATCACTTCTAGTATGGCCCTGGCCTCTGGATTCTCAGTATCCCTTTGCTTATGGTCATAATGATTATGGCTCTGAGGAAAGACTGAATCCACGGTCTCAGTTCTTTGTTGCTTTGAGCTCTGGTGCCTGGCCCCTGTATCAGAGCAGCCAAGGGGCTGTTTTAACTGACACCACTGCCTCTGAATTGCCCCAATCCCTATGCTGTGTCCATCTCATGATAACCCATCTCATGAGGGCCAGAGCCATGTGTTTTATACCCCAAGAGACCTATGAATCTCCACTTTCTTATGGTGTAAATAATTTGCTTCCAGATCCAATAAATCATATTATATTGAACTTTAAAAGCGTGACAGCACTGTGTGTGTAAAAATTGTTTTTCTTCGAGGGCTGCTGTTTGTGATCTCACTTGTGGGATTGCATTTCCTGGTCGCAAGCACATGGAACCATCTTTTGAAGCCAGGTCCATTGTGGAGCACGTGAGCACCCTCGCATGGCAACTTATGTCAGATGCCCTAGTCTATATAAGGGTGATCCCCTCTGAAACTCAGGGGATCACAGAAGTTCCTTTTGAAAGGCATACCCTTTTTAGTGATGAGACTGACATGATGCTGGAAAAAATGAAGCCTTCTAGAACCACAGCTAGATCTCTTGGCCTTTCCCAGACTTCCACTTCTTCGCAGGTGATCCTCCTCCTGTCCAGCCTCCAAATTCCAGAGGCAAGAGACAGCATCTTCTCAAAGCGGCTCTTCTCAAAGGATGTTCCATTTTCCCCCAGAGCCAAATTATGGAAGGAGGCCTCAGCAACAATATAAGACTAAGAACACTGGTGTTCACATACTAGTCTGCTTCTAAGTAGCAGACTGATAGGCCACCTGAGAACCAAGTTATTGTCTCCGGTACTATTTTCCCTCACCTCTCTCCATTCCCTCCCTTCAGTCCTTGTCTGTCCTTATTTTACACCAGCTGGTGCATAATCACTTCTGATCCCTGGGTCTTAGAGACCATCCTCAGCAGATATTCCATCCAGTTCTGCACTAGGCTTCCCTCATCCTCCCTCCCTCCCTAGGCACAGTTCCCATGAGAACGTACTCCTATAGAAAGTGGACTCTGCTATCAGAAAGGGTAATGGAAGGAATTCCTGCCCCTCTTCCCCCACCCCCATAATCTATCAAGGGAAGAGCTTGGGGATGAGGAAATACCAGGAATAAAAGAAGGTGGATGGTGTAAGAACTATTTTGAGCTTTAAGAACCTGAACAGGTATGTCCAGACATCAAAATTCAGGATGCTCGCCTTGGAGGAGATTATTCCTTTGCTTACCAAGGAAAGTGGTGCAGCTCTCTCTTTGAAGGATGGGTACTTCCACATG